TTGAATCGGTTAAGTCCATAAGCAGGTGTTAGTGATGATTTACCACTTGGACCATCTTCAGGTAGCGGGCATAACGCGGGTCCTTGGCCACAGTCAGGACATTCTCTGCAGAGGCTTCTGCTTTCGGTGTCGCTGCCGGCTCTGGTGCAGTCTGAGCGGGCTGCAACATGAAATATACAAATCACTATGACAGTGAGAAGTAAGCAGGTAGTTAAGACAGCGCAGGATATCCTATCCTATGGGTACCCTATTTTGCATTATTAGTAGGTGGTACTCTTTTCTTAGGGTGCAGATGTTGTGGTTTGCAAAAGAGTGTATCTGATGTTGGAGTGTATGATGCTGCTCGTTGATGAACTGGATCTGGGTTGTTTGGGTTTGTACATTTTGTCAATGCTTAGGAGCGGTGGAATCAGTCTTCTCTTCTCTAACAACTAACTCTCGAAAATAAAGCGTATGAACATTGCTTAAAATCGTCTTGGCTTTTGAGCTGAAAAACATCATATACTTGTTTGTGTGCATTGACCTTTGGCGGAGGCAGGGTCCCTGCTGGTGGACCGTCTGCTTGGCTCTGACTGGCGGTAGTGGGTCCATTCGTCTGAGCAGGTTGCCGCTGACTGATTCCATCTATTGTGACGTCCTCCAGCCCGGGTATGGAGGACAGCTGCTCAGAAAAATACAAACTATGATATATGATCAGTGCATGCGCACGGCATGTGTAGAGAGTGTAATACACTGCAGACAGAATGACCGGAGAGAGGCTCAAGAAGCTCACCTTGGCTTCCAAAATGCTCAGGGTTGTTTCAATCTGCTGTATGCGGAGAGATATGTTCGCAAGTTTCTGTGGGAAAGAAGTATGTTCAGGATCAGGATAGAGGATTAAGTGTTATAGAGGCCTTTTGTGTGGACTGATCAGGTCAGCAGAGGCAAATTGAAGTATAGAGCACAAGAAGATGTACAAACCTCTTCACATACTGTGGAAAACCGGTTAAGGAACCGGACCGTGTGCACGACAAACTGATTGAGATAGGCAACAACTCTCCTCTGTTGAATAGCAGGGACCTGCAGGACACAGAGATAAAGATATTTTAAGTAGGAACCCAGGAAGTGATGTACTGTAGGAAATGAAGTAATTCACACTATCTTAATGATGTAATTTATCCTCCTTATGCTATTTAGAACCACTGCATTCATTCAGTTTTAACATAGCAGATATTGGGAAATCCCTGATTATTTACTACAAGTTTATTATAAAGTCAGTTAGTGAAGCTATGGAAGATTATTGCTGAAATATTTAAAGTAATTATATACACAAATACAGCACGAATATATGAACTACAGCTGAGCCACCTTGTACAATATTGCAAAGGGATGCTAAAGGCAGTTATTTACAGCTAAATAGTTTTTGGTAAACTAACGTCACTATTACTATCTGACTTGCTAACACACACAATGTCAACTCTCTTGTGATTTCCTCTTAGCATAACGTTAGCCAACCTTGGTGAGATCGACACCAGACCCAACGATCGGCAGCCCGTCCTCGTCCATGTTGGATTCTGTAAACTTCCTGCAGATTGCAGAGCAGTTTCAGTTCTAACAGCGAGAATGTCGCTGCAAAAACGACAGAAATGGCTACATGGAGAGATATCTGCTGTGCAACGTTTCATGTGACTCGGGACGTCACGACGTTAGAATCAGCCAACAGGACTTGTGATTTTAGCTTTTATTTTGAAGTCCCATTTCCTTGTCAGTGAAAAACAACAACATCCGGTTCAGTCTTGGAGCCACGTTTGACAATTTCCGGTTTTAAAATGTTTATAAATGAATACACCATTTCATTATTTATTAAAATAACATTTAATAAACAGAGACGTTTTTTAACTTACATGTAAGACATGCATTTGTAAATTTGCCCCTCTTATATATTAATGTATATTTATTATTTTTCGAGAGATTTTCTCTAAATTAATTACAGATTGAACCACTATCTTAAAACATATGTTACAACTTCAGTTAAACTTGCAAATCTGTTGTTTTGTGTCTTTGACCACAGCAGGATTGATTCGTACAAATTCTACCTGATATATTTGATCATAATTACGACGTCTTAAATAAAAACTATTAACCCTTACTTGTTTTACTTTACGAACAGATGCTAAACTTAAAGTACCTGTATGTCATAGATTCTTACGCATGTCTTATTACAGGAGGACAGGGATTGGATGTGTAGCGCAGTCACAGCGGACCTTTATTTTGAAAAGAGGAAACGCAAGAGTTGAGGAAACGGGTACTTGCGTACTAACAGCGCATTTTAGCTATAAAAAAATAATCAAACATTATTTTACATTTGTTTATCAGCGCCACGGGAGAAATATTGCACGAATGGAGGTTGTTGGGTCAATAGAGAAAATAAACGGTACGTATATTAATAATTAAATCCCGCTGTAATTTAGTGCAGGCTTTGTTTATGTTAGCGGGATCTGTCTATTTAATGGAAACATGCCGTCAGAAACTGGTGTTACTGCGTTAGAAATGACGTTGATAGCCAGATTCCATGCAATAATATGAATAAATAGAGTCCGTTGTTGCACAGCTGCAGATACTTTTCCAAATTGCAATTTTCAAACTCGCATCAAGTAGTTCATCCAGTCATTAGACGGGTTCATAGGCTTATGGCAGGTTATTAGTGGGGGTAGTTATAATTAGTTGTACTTTTTTAATATTTTAATTTAAATGAGTTTTGATGAGTATGTCTGGAAGTGCTCTTTGATGTCCTCTCAACAGACCACCTCTCACATTACACCTTCATGTTTCAGACCCCAGCCTACCTCTGGCATCTCTTCGCCTGCTGGTGCCCCCACTGCAGCTTCTGTCTGCAGCGATGTGGCAGCTGGCGAAGCAGAAAGATGTCGTGAATTATGAGAAGCTCCAGGAGTTTGTGTTCATGGTGACTGAGGCGGTCCCTGGACTGATCAACCACAGACAGAGAGCCCAGCTCATTCTGGGTCTAAGAGCCAGGGTGAGCAGAAGTTGTGTATTGTGTCACATTGTACATTTGTCTTTTCTAATGATTTTGCGCCTAACAATTTGTTGGTATTTCAGTTGATTCTGGAGCTTTGCAAAGGCTTGGCTCGAGGTTCTGTTGATTCTCAAGTGATCCAGAGCCATTTGGATAGACTCCCAATAACCAACGCAAACACAGATGTAAGTACAGCAAAGGAACACCTTTTATATAACAAAAATGATAATCCTTAAGTGACGTGAATCCTGTCTGTGGCAGTACAGGGACGCAGAGGTGAAAACAACAGAGTCCACTTTCGTTGCTCTTGTTCAGAGCCTGCTGAAAGATCCAGTCGAGAGAGCGTATTTCTTCCAGGTCAGACGGATTTAAATACTTTCTTCATTTGAGAATACTCTCAATAAGTCCTCCAGTGAATTGACATTTAATTATCTCTTCCAGGAGGTGTTCCCAGTGGAATATGGGCCACAATACGATGCTGCTCTGCACGTCTTATTGTGGGAGCTGCTCTCAAAATTGGAAAAGCTGCTTCCGGTACCGGATTTAAAGCAGGTCAGTCTGTCCATCCAGTTGTCTCAGGTTGTTTTTCCTTCTGCAAAGCGTTTGCCATTTATCACACACTGTGATTCCAGACTGCGGCCTGGCTCGGCTCGGCTCCTTCTGTGGTGGACGAATGTGTTCGGTCGTCACCTGAAGAGCTGAGGTTAATCTTCGAGCACTACAAAAGTTCAGGACTACTGAAAATGCCGTGTGAGTAGAGCTGAAATGACTAGTCGGTCGACAGAAAGTTTATGTGAATTTAAGTAAATTTGACTATTTCCTGATACTTTATAGACTCAACCAGTAGACAATTAGTTGATAAAAGTAAGAATAAATTGCCTTAAAAGTACAGTTTTTCAACCAGTGATTCCGTTGTTTTCTGTCCTTGTAGACGGCCCTTCGTCCACCATTGGTAGCTGCATCATGTCTGCTTTATCCATTCCGCCCTCGCAAAAGACAAACATCTCCGTCGGGCTGGAATCCATCCACAACTACGCTAATGTCCTAAACCCCGTCACTTTTGTGGGAACGGACCAGTACAGCGTTGTGGCCGTCTACACCGAAGTCGAAGTTGCCGCGTCTGAAGTAGATGAAGAAATGATCGAATCGGCTGAAGTGCAAGTTCAGACGGACTTCTATGAAGAGGAGATAGTGGCTGTGAGTGCAGAGGAGGCTGCCAGCTCGAGGGCAGAAGAAACGAGTGAAACTGTGGATGTGGCTAAAGCTCTAGAGACCTTGACGAAAACTTTTGCACTGAGAAAGGAGAGCCTCGGTCAAGATGTAGTAACGGGAAAGAGTAATGATTCGTCCCTGAATGATGAGTTTGGGTTAGGAAATGCACTAGATGAAGGAAAAACACAGGAAGGACATGAAACAAGAGACCAAACTGATGAGAAAATAGAAAATGTTGAAGAGGTGGAGGAGGATTTCCAACCTGGATGCATAGAGAGCAGTTTCAACTCTTGTGCAGATTTAAGGGATGACCATGAATCCTTTTCTGTCCATGAGGACACGACAGATGTCCTCAGTGAGGATCCAGTCACTGAAACTCAACAGTCTCCCGGTTCACCCAATGTGCGCCGATCCACTCGTCTACAAATGAAGATCTCACCCAGTTGGCAGGAGAAAGTCCAGAGGTCTTCCAGGGAAAGTGGGGAAGAACCGAAAATGTAATGTGATCAATATCACCAGTCTGACCAGTTTATTTCCTTTTTTGTCACTCACTGTTTTATGAGGAAGAGTTTTACAACATTACATAGTAACAGTAACAAAAAACTAGTCTGGGAAATACATTCATGATAACAATTCTTATCATTCATGCACTCAGTGCTGCATTTCATTTCATCCCGGTTCATTTTGGAGATTTCTTTTTAGGAATAAATTGCATTTTGGTAAATCAATGAGACAAGAACGAGTAATTGTTGTAACACTTGAAATATTATTTCCCAAATCACAATTATTTCCTGACAGACAATTGTTCCCAAAAATATATGTGATGTACATTTAACGATTCAACATTTTTACTTCACCAGGAGCAAAGCTGATGTATCCGTTGCCCACTCTGTTATCGCCATCAAAGGAATCAACACAGGTAACATTTTGATAAGAAGAAGAGAAACATCTTGGAGTTTTTTGTAAAAATTATAATACACCTACTTTACTCACAATTACGTCTTTTTTAATTTGCAGGTGATGCGGACGAGATGACGTCCATAATCTTTACCTGCTCTCAGTGTCCCTTCCACAACTCGGAGGAAAACAGCCCTCCTCACTTCCACATGCAAAGTGTTCCCACTGAAGTATACAAGACTCTCTCCGGAGCCAAATTTGCTCCGTCTCCCTCTAGCACGGATGAGATTTTTACATCCATTAAACTTTTCCCCAAAGGAAACAAAGGGGAGAGCAAAGCAGAGCAGCCCGACGCTCAAAGCAAAGTAGACATGCCTCAGCCCCAAAGCAGACGGAAGGCCCTCGCATGTGAAACGTGCGGTAAGACATTCACCCGCTCGTCAGACGTGAGGAGACACCAGCTCACGCACACCGGAGAAAGACCCTTTCACTGCTCGCAGTGCGATCGAACCTTCCAGCACTCGTGGGATCTGGCCAAACACGAGAGCAAACACCACGGCGTGGCCATTTCCTTCTCCTGCCAGCTGTGCGGGAGCTCCTTCGCTAACCTCCGCACGCTGACGGTCCACCATAAGAAGTCTCACTCGCGAGACAGCCAGCTTCCTCAGATCTGCTCCATCTGCAGCCACAGCTTCCCGACTTCCTCGGAGCTGCTCGAGCACAGGAAGTCTCACGTCTCCGCTAAGCGCTACATCTGCCGGCAGTGCGGCGAGGGCTTCGACTCCCTGCTTGCGCGCTCCCAGCACCGGCAGGTGCATCAAGTGAAGAGTCAGTTCAAGTGTCCACATTGTGACAAGACGTACACTCGGCGCTCTGACGTCAAGAGGCACATGTCCACCCACACCGGGGAGCGGCCGTACCAGTGTAACCAGTGCAGCAAGCGGTTCTCGCTGCGCTTCATGTTCATGAAACACCTCCGTGTTCACACAGGGGAGCGGCCTTTCCAGTGCTCCCACTGCCCCAAGAGGTTCACGCTGGTGTCTGTGCTGGCCAGACACGAGAGGATGCACACAGGGGAGAAGCCTTTCCTCTGCTCTCAGTGTGGGAAGGGCTTCTTGTCGCAGGGAGAGCTTTCAAAACATCACCGGTCTCATGTGGACGACAGGCCCTACTCCTGCCCTCAGTGTGACAAACGCTTCAAGAGCAAGAAAACCCAGCAGGAGCATATCGTCTCGCACACCGGCGCCCGCCCGTACCCCTGCACCTACTGCGGGAAGGGCTTCACCAAACCGTACGCGCTGACCAGACACAATCTCATTCACACGGGTGAGCGGCCGTTCCCCTGCGGACACTGCGAGAAGTCGTTCCTCACCCTCGGCGAGGCTCAGCTGCACCAGCGTATTCACACGGGCGAGAGGCCGTACCCCTGCAACGTCTGCGAGCTCAAGTTCAAGAGCTCGTCGGAGCTGGCGCGACACAGGCGAAGCCATTCGGGGTTGAAGCCGCTGAAGCCTTACTGTGAACACTGCGCGAAAACGTTCGGGTCCAAGGCCAAGCTTAAGAAACACATGGAGAAACACGGGGAAGAGGCGGAAGCAGCGCAGTCTGTGGACTCCATCCAGCCTGAGGAATCAAATCAATAAGTGACTAATGGAGACTAGCTCATTGGTCAAATCAGGAGAGTTGTGAAAACGAATGTACGTGGTTTCAGGATGCTTGTGTTCAGATATTTAGCTTTGTCAAATGTATTAAGTGTTTATCAGGAGAGAAGCATGTGTCCACATGTCTTAACTGTACAGACGTTTAGTACCAAATGATGATTGTTTGGTACTGTTGCATTCTTCAACATTTTGAGTAAATTTAAAAGGTGAAAAAAAGTGTATATATATTATGTATACATTTGTATGGTGTACTCTAGACAAGGCTCTGGTAGTACGCCATAAAACCAAAACCTGTGTAATCCCCTGCAATAAAACTTACCTTTATGAAGTGTATAATGTTGTGTTTTTGCTGCAGACATTGTTTCTGTCGGGTTTGTGGTGCATCGTACTTTAGTGGAACAGTTCTCAACTTGAGGCCACGCAACGAGGAGTCACTGATAGATGATAGAAAAGTAGAAAAACACAATTATGCTGCACAAAATTAGATTTGAGCAACACTATGCGGTTGATAGTTTTGCTTTTGAGTGGAAAAAAACGATTTGATGGATTGCCAGGATGAATTTCAATAACTCCCCCTGCAGCAGCGTCAGCAGGTAAACTTTTAATTTGTACAGTACTTTGATGTAGGTCTATAAATACCGGCAAAAATAATGTTATTCCCATTAAATACAAAATACAGCTGCGGGTGGCAGCTGTATTTTGTGCTGATTAACAAATGTTAGCATGCTAACACGCCAACCAAAGATGGTGCACATGGTAAACATACATGCTTAGCCTGTTAGCATGCTGATGTTAGCATTGAACACAAAGCACACTGTGCCTTAGTACAGCTTAACAGAGCAGGTAGCAGGACTGTTGACTTTTGTTTTATCATTTCAGCCTTGTAACAATTATCAAATATGAGCATAGCTTTGTTCACCACAAGTGTCACCACAAGCCAGAAAGGTTGGGGAACTCTACTTTAATAAGGCATTGCTTTTGTTGTGTCTGTTTCAAAAGGGCAACTCTGCAGCCACCAAAATGAGGGTTCCCCCCCCCCCCCCGGCTGTATTTCCAATGAGCTGTCTTGGAGTTGCCTTTGAAATCTCGTCCTGCATGTGTGAGGTGATGTATTTCCTTGGTTTCTGTCCAGAGTGCACATAAAACCCAGTGAGCTGATGGTTATGGAGCAAAAATTAATTATAAACATCGTAAACACGGCTCACATTTCCTCTGCAGACCTCCAGCTGTCTGTGGTAAAAACCCTTCTGTCTTCATCCTGCCTTTTCTTGTGTCCTTCACACACCGGGTGGAGAGCAAGCTCCTTTCATCCGTCTGTGTAACCCGGTAAACACTTGAGAAATCGATATAAGAGCCATTTGTGGCCAGTCACACCTCATTGTTGAGCTGCTTTCTGCGGCCTAAACATAATTTAAAGCGTAAGGCTGTATGTATGAGACTAGATTGCGGTTCTGCTCTTCCCCATCCAATCCATCTGATTACCCCCCTCTCTGTCATCATGTCAATATCACGCTTGTCCTTTATAAAGAAGGAGCTGTATGAACGTGTTTAATTACCTGAGAGGCTTTAATCAGCTCTGATGGGAGGGAGGCAGATGCCGAGCAGGAATCGGCAGGATTAAACTGGCTGCATCATTTAAACAAAGAGCAGTTACAGTGCAGTCTAAACCACTGGCACTTGCATGTCTTCACATCTTAATAACTATATAGTAAGTAGTGCTATAAGTATATAGTTATAAAATAGGTCCATTATTCCATTAGATTTAAATAGATCACGTCCTCGACTGACACTGTTGGGTTACTCGTTTAATATTTTCATTTGACACAATATACAAAAAGTTAAACATGGGTAAAGTTTTTACATTTTACAAAGACATCACAAAGACAGTCGTAGAGTTTTCCCCAGTTCACGTATTCCACAAATGGAAGTTAAAACTCACAGTAAAAAAAATGTTAAAACTCAAAGGGATGTCTCCTCCACACCGAGAGAGGGTGTGCATGGGTGGGTTTCAGGTCCTTCCCACTGCAATCACCTCTCGCTTTGACCAGAGTGAGGTGCAGCAGCGAGCAGCCAGATGTGTGGATGTGACTATCGACGGCGGAATTAGAAGAGCTGGTGACCATGCAGGTGGAAAGGACGCCCGAAATAAACGCATAAATACGGTGGAGACAACGAAGCTGTGGATGCAGATAACCGCATGACGCGACACCCACCGGTGTGATTTACAGTCCAGTCGGCGTTTGTGGTGTTGATGGCGGATTAATGACCAGTCATAAAGAAGTCGGGGGGATTGTGTGTTGCAGGAGAACGTTAGTGAGGCACTGATAGAAGAAGAAAGAGAGAGAGAGGAGGAGTGTGTCGAAGAGAGAGAGAGTGGGGAGTAAATAAAACCGGAGGCGAGATCATGAGCTCTGCATTGCCTTACAACTCGCTGTCAGCTCGGCCGAGTCCCAGCAGACAAGCTCTGGACTGGGAACACCAGCAGCTGGCTGTGCGACGACATTCCTCCCCACGGGGTCTCGACCTGCTCACTCCACCTCCTCTTCCTCGCCGACCCTCCGCGATCCCCGGCTACCTGCTGTCGCCCTACCAAGAGCAGGAGGAGCAGCTCCACGAGCAGCAGCAGCGACTGTCCTTGTCCGTGTGCTCAGAGGCCTCCCTGGCGCCCCCTGCCCCTCCACCTGTGGGCGCTGCCCCACCCTGCTGCCGCCCAGTGGGAGTCATGCACCTCCTGCGCCTGGGTCTCCTGGCCTTCAGCTGCCTCTTCTGGGCAGCCGGCTTGGCCATCCTCACCCTAGGTGTGTGGGCACAGATTTCCCTGGCGGACTACATGCTGCTGTCTGCCAACCGCTACCCCAACGCCCCTCTCATCCTTCTGTCCACAGGTGCGGCCGTCACTGCTTGGGGCTTCCTGGGCTGTCTAGGGGTGGCGGCCAACTTGCCCGCCGTGCTCAGGGCTTACGGTTTCTTTCAACTTGCTGCACTTATAGCCGGTTTGGCAGCTGGACTCTCGGGTCTCTTCTATCGCGAAGACATCGCCGGGGGATTTCGCAGCGGCTTACAGCGAGCGGTGGCCGGCTACACCGAGGACGAAGGGCGTGCTGACGCGTTAGACAGCTTGCAGAGGGCCCTGGAGTGTTGTGGAGCTGAGGGTTGGCATGACTGGCTTACGTCAGACTGGGCTATCCAGCATATGACCTTCCTGCCCAACGAGAACGGCACCTCGGTGTCCCTGCCGGACAGCTGCTGCGTGAGGCGCAAGGGCTGCAAGAATCGACCTCTTTTGTCGGATGACGTTGAAGGAGTCGCAGCAGCGGGAATCCATCCACACGGCTGCTTCCTCAAAGTCTTCAGTTTGGTCAACGACAACGTCTTCCACATTGCCGCCACCGTGATGGGATTGGCCTTCACCCAAGTCGGAGGCATCGCCCTGGCCTGTCTGCTGGCCAACAGACTGGCACCAAGACAACATGGGCGTGTGGTGGCACATTAACGGTCAATTTAAAAATGTAGGCAACCTACGCCAAGGATTGACTGATTTGTAGATAATTAGGATTGGGAATGAGACGCTGCCCTTGAAGAGTAATGGAGTTGTAAAGTGTTGGGGGTTATGTCAGGCGTCCAGGTTTCCAGGAAACATGTCAGGAGATCAATATTAGCCGAACTGTGAAGATATTAAAAGAAAATGGGAATTTAGTGGTTAAAAAAATACTCAAGGAACCAGCAACTCCTTACACTTCACAACTCTTTTACACTTTTGCCTGGTCTTCTGCACAATTAAAAAAACATAGCAAGGTGGGAGGTGTGTACATTTGATACCTGCAAAAGGAGAAGTCTGACATTTTGGGGTGGGACCACGTCGGGCAGCACACTGTAAATCTCAAAAACTAGATGGAAGTACAATGAGACTTTGTTTCAGTAATGTTTAAATATCGGCATGGATTAATGTGCTTCATGTAGAATGTAAATAAATATTATTTAGGGTTAACTGCTGGGATTTGGTACATCTCACCACCGAATGCACAGGACTGTTCACCAGCAGTTTTCCACCTCAGATGATTCGGTCTGTGTTCAACAGATGTTCGTGTCCACACCATTTAGTTCTTCCATCACAAAAACAACACTGTGCTAGAATGGTGCGCTTAAAAAGAGCTAAATAAGCTATTTGTGTCTGTGGTATTTTGTGCTGTTTACATCTGTAAATGTTGAGGTGAAATAATGACTGCTTTAAAAAAAAAAAAAATGTTCTCCCAGATGTCTCTGTGTTGCTCGCGTTTGTATATTCTGAAGCACAAATTTGATTTAAATCACTGAATATTGGGAATAACCCTTTTTATGACCCAGATGTGCAACCCTCAGTTAGCATGAAACTTTCTCTTCTTCAACATCAAACTCAAGTTGACAGATAAAAAACTCAACATTTTTGGGGAATGCCATTCATTCGCTGTCTTGCGGGAGAGTTAGAAGAGACGAGACTAGCTGTTTCCACTTGTTTACAGTCAGTCTACGCTAAGCTAACCGTCTCCTGGCTGTAGCTTCATATTTAACCGGGGTTGCCAAGTCTCACATTGGGGACATTTCTGTCCCGAGTAAAAGTCAGAACGCCGTTTCCTCGTGTCAAGTTTATTATTAAAAGGTTTTTCTTTCAGTTTTGCCTCTGAAATGCAAATGTCATTACGATATTTGCAGAAGGCTTTAGTTGCATTATTGCACACGTAGATGTGTACGTTCTCTAATCGTTAAAGTTAATACAAATATTTCAACAGGTTGGACTCATACACATTTTAACTGCACAATTAGTTTCTGGAGTTGTGTCAATGAACACATTTCTGCGTTTCTCAGGCTTAATCATGAATGATATATAAGATATTGCCTGCCTTTGTCGTGATATTTAGGATGATGTAGCCTGTATTAATGTTTGGGTGTTGTATTATTGTGTTTTGAGAGACGGCGGTGAACTTTTTTTTGTTCCTGAAATTACACCATAAGGGTCAGATCGTCCCAATTAAAAATATTCAATCTATGCACAAAACAACAACAAAATCTGAATGTTATGAGTGGTATTGAACAGTGTGAACATGCATGACTGAAACTGTAAACTATGTCTGTCAAACAATAAACAAAAAATCTCTGCCTCGTTGCACGATGTGATATTGATAAGTGGCAACAGCATTCTTGTACTTTCATGCATGTCTAACGTCTTGTGAATCACTGACGAGCGGTTTTGGGGGTTTTAATGTGAGTATTTTCCTCTTAGAGGTGGAAATAAGTGAAGATTGTGTCCCTGGTCCTGACAGGTGGCAGGTTCGCACCTCCTGTTTTCATTTGAATGTGCTTTAAAAACAGCTTTAGGGCTTTACTTTATGAGGAAGGCCATGTTGGAAATGTGCCAGAGTGGTAAATTCTCAGCGCTGGGAGTGGTCCACCCTCACGGAGACCTCTGGCCGGGCCATTCTGAGTTATGGCTCACCAAACGACATCTAATTTCTACACCACCTGAGACAACGGTGATTACATCTGCCCTTGAAGGGAGAGACACAGACGCACTGCTGAGTGTGACGAAACAAAGCAGCGTGACCCAGCATTGATTCGTTTATGGAGCGGAACATTATGAGCTACATCATCTGCTCAAATTGAGCAATATGAAGTTCACAATTCATCACAAAGATTACCTTAAAGCCGCCATATATCTACATTTAGAAACATAAAGGCTGTGGGCGGTGGCCTCTCAACAATGAATTTCATGGCCTAATTATAGTATTGATTAGCCTACATTATGCTCTAACAAGGCTTGCGGATGCTTTCTATCTGATTACGTTGTCCTTATTAAAACTATGTTGCCTGAGGTTGCTACATCCCCACCAGAAGTTGCGTCACACTGAAGTGGAGCTCTTCGAGCACCACCTTAAGTCAGGAAAACCACAAGAGGCATTGTGCTCTTAATACCTCTGAAACCTATTTTGGGTTGGGTACTTTACTGTGCAGTATTTATGACTTCTACTCTACCAAAACAAATGCTCTAAGGAAGAGACACAAAATGGCTGCAGAGTTGTGCAAATGTAAAATCACTATCACATTAAGCATCACATTGATAAATTAAAGGTTTGTACTTTAACTAATTTATATTACAACCTTAAAAACTTACAATCATATAAATCATGGAATTACTTTCTCCAATTAGTATTTTGATTGGTTTCAAACCCTTAAATATGTATTAAAAGCTTTATTATTCAAACTTTTTCAGATATTAAAGTTACCAAAATAAATATTGCTTCAGGCTCTTTTCCCAAATGGGTGTGTCTTTATTGCCTCGGTGAAAGGTCTCCTGAATCTGATAACACGGTGTCACTGGCATCACTTTGAGGAAATCCACACTTGTCTAAAGTGTTTGACATTTGCAAAACAAAGTATAGGCCTCTAGCTCTACTCTCCGCCTCTTTAAGTCTGTCCTACATCTGACTCCGCAGTTTGCACAGCAGCCTGTACTCTGCCCCACATTTTATTTGGCAATTCTCACCACCACTCGCTTCGCCCGTCGCTGCGTAAAAGCCGCCGCGCTGCGCTTGGAAATGTACTTGTTTTTGCGCACAGCGAGGTCTCCAACATGGACTTAAAATCCGAGCTCCTCAAATCCATCTGGTACGCTTTCACATCTCTGGACGTCGAGAAGTGCGGGAAAGTGTCCAAATCGCAGTTGAAGGTAAGCAGGACTGTGTATGGTCATTTTAAGATCAGGAAACTGAGAGCGAGGGGCGTCCGCTGGACACAGAAACAGACTTTTAAATGTGCTACTTTTCATTTAAATCCCTTTTATATTCTGGCTGAAGACAAACCAAAAAGTCATCAGTCTCAATGGTAGTCTGTCGTATATGTTGTGAAATACTAACTTGTAGTCCTATACGATGGGAATCTGAACACAAACGCACTACAAGCTCACACACAAGTCCAAATATTTGAAAAAGTTTTACTCTTTATAGCATAGGCCTGCGCATACTGGTGGCCCAGCTGAAGCTTCAAGCTCAAAGTCCAACCTCTCTGCGGACCAGAAACACACAGTAGTGAGATAATACCCTCACTGTCAGTGTTTCAAATAAAAGGCAAACGACAAGTACATATCTTATTTAGCTATTTCCGCCCTCAGTGAGTGTTATTTTCCAGTTCCTACATGCCTGACTGAGCCCCCATAGGAGAGAAGAATCCAGGGAAATAGCAGAAAGCTGTCCTGACATGCTAAGGACCAGCTGTCTGTGGTTATGTGTGTATGAAGAAACACGGACGAAACCCTCAATGCTATGTGCTTATGTGCATCTGTATGTCTGTTCTTCAGGTGCTTTCTCACAACCTGTACACAGTGCTGAACATCCCACACGACCCCGTGGCTCTGGAGGAGCACTTCCAGGATGATGATGATGGACCGGTGTCTAATCATGGCTACATGCCCTACCTCAACAAATACATACTGGATAAGGTGCTGGGGCTGTGACATCGCCTCCGGCAATTAAATCATTATCAATTCAATGTTTATATTTATTTGTAATATGTTAAACAATAATTCGTTTTTTCTATGTTCTGTAAAAACAAAGCATTGGAAAGTACTATTTTATTATTATGTTGATGTTATTTTGGGGTTAGGAGAAAAAAATAATGTCAATGGTTGAGTGATTTATAATACCCATCATGTCCTGGAAATGTATTTGCTTTGGACAACAGTCTATTCATAATATTGATACTGATTTGATATTAATATTGACATTAATATGAATATATTTGGTGCTATTTTGGGGTTAGGAGAAAGAAATAATCTCATTGGCTGAGTTATATATAATACCTATTCTGTCTGTTGTTAAAACCGTTTCCATCAGATGAAGTTTGAATCCAGGTTTATTACGTTTCAGTCATTAAGACTCTTTCATTTCAGGTCAAAGAGGGGATGTTTGAAAAGGAGAGGTTTGATGACCTGTGCTGGATGATGACCATGAAGAAGAACTTCAAGGGGTTACCACAGGGGGCGCTGCTATCGCAAATAGACTGTTTCAAGCTCTTCTGTTTATTCAACCTCCTGTCTGAGGACCGCTACCCGCTGGTGATGATACCAGAGGAGGTAAAACATGTCGATTTTGGTGTGAAACAGGAATTTGACGTAGGACTCAACGTCGGGAGCGACTTGATTTCAGGGAATCGATTGAGACTCAAGTTCATGTTCATTTTATTTGATTGAATTTTTACACCTCAGAGTATAAAATGTAAACCTTTCAACATCAAGCAACCAAAGAAAAGAGGCACATTCTGACAGAAAATGCATTCAAAAGTGGCAGAAATTCCTTCCCTAACATTCACTGGTCAGATAAAGATCAATAGAGTAAATAACCACACAGGGAAACAAGGAAACACAGCAGGTTTTCAGGCAGTCACACGAGGCACTCTGTAATCCCCTAATTGCTAGAAAGACACATAATTCTCCATATAAACCCAGCTCGTGTCCCAGCAAAGTCAGAGTGTTTCACGTTTTTTTTCACAGCGGAAAAAAAGTAAGTGCGAGTAAGTTAATGAGTCTCTTCCTTCCGCCACTTCCTTCATAATGCTTTTGGTTTCCCGTCGACAGAGACAAAAATAAACGGCTTTTGTGCTATCAGCACAGTAGCTTTCCTTTGTAAAGGGTTACGTCACAGAAATACACTGATAAAATATGTTCTTGATACTGTCAATATTTATTATTTGTGGTCTCTTTTGCAAAACACTCGAAATATTTGCTTTTAGGTGGAGTATCTCCTCAAGAAAATCTCCACAGCGATGAGCCAGGAGTGGGACGGGAAGCCATTAGAGGACTTCATAACCCAGGATGCCACAGTGTGGGAAGGCGACATGTCTGTATGGACCTTCCTGGAGCACATGGGTGCAGGCCGGCTCTTGAGGGTCACCAGTGCCGAGACCTTCAGTCTGGCTTTGGATGAGGTCTTTCTGGAGATGTATCACAACGTCCTCAAGAGGGTAGAGAGTGTTCTCTGTATCTTCCTGTTTCTGTTTGTCGTCTTCTTCGTTGCTCTTCTTAAATGAGGTCCCTTGTTTCCAGGGTTATATGTGGAAAAAGGGGCATGTACGCAGGAACTGGACTGAGCGTTGGTTTGTGCTGAAGCCCTCCTCCATTGCTTACTACGTCAGCGAGGCCTTGAGTGACAAGAAAGGGGAGATCCAGCTGAATAAGAGCTGCATCATAGAGGTGGGTGAGGAAATGCAAACACTGCATGTTTAATTATATGGTGTCCAGGCAAATGCTGTGCTTTGGATGTGTTAAGATGAAGTCCTATACAGCACATAAGTCCCATAATCCTTGTATTTTGATACTTTTCTGAGTCTCCTCTTTCTGTTTCAGCCTATTGCCGACAGGGAGGGGAAGCGCTGTATGTTCTGTGTGAAAACTCACAATAAAACCTTTGAGATGAGCGCGTCTGACCAGAGGCAGAAGGTGGAGTGGACTCAAGGTGTGTTGGTGTGTATAAGAATAAGCATACGGAGTCAGAAACTACATTTTGACTGCAGTGATTTCTCGTGTGGGTGGTCACCGGTGCATTCTAGTTTAATTCACCGGTTTCAGATGAGACATTGTAAAGAAGTGGTTTTACATTTTGGGATGTCAGATGAGAAGATAGATATGTAGCCACTGCAGCAGCTAGCTTAGCTTAGCACAAAGACTTGAAACACGGTGAACCAGCTAGCCTGACTTTATCCAGTCTTGCCATTATTGTTAGGTTTCCAGGCAAACAATAGAGTCTCCATGAAGTTACCAAATAACCGTCTTTAAAACCACAAATTGTCAGTTAATGCTTCTGTTTTTGTAAAGATTGAACAAACAAGACATCGTGTTAATTTGTAAGCTTTTATGTTGCTGGTAGGTGGATTTTGTTACTGTTGGGCTCGCTGTTTCTCCCCCCATTTCCAGTCTTTATGCTAAGCTAAGCTAATCAACTGCTAGCTTCCTATTTACCGCACAGACATGAGAGTGGTATCGATCTTGTCATCTAACTGCAAAAAAGCAAATAAGTGTATTTCACAAAATACCAAACTGTTATTTTAAGTAAATTGATGTTCTATATTTGATATTTGATGAATCAATATTTGATATGATTCATCATCTTACACCTGGATTAGTCACTGGCAAAACCTACTTTATTGGCCATAGTTTATTTTAGGGATTTGTGGTGGAGATAAGCTATTGAACCACAAAGAAACACTCAAAATAAATAAAACACCATGAACAGTATCTACAGTACCTACAGTGTGTCTTTTTGCTACATCTCCAGCTATTCAGACAGCTTTCCGTCTCCAGAGCGTGGGCAAGTCCTCCCTTCACCACGAACTCAAACTGAAGAGACGCGTCCAGCGGGAACACAGCCACCGGGAACACAGCCACCGGGAGCGCAGCCGGAGCAGCTGCAGCAGCCGGAGCAGCCAATCAGACGACTCCAACATGCAGGAGATGGAGAAGACGGAGAAGGAGAAAGACAGACAGGATTCAGAAATAGAAAGCATCATACAGGTAAGATGCGGAAAGGAATAAGTCGAGGGACAATTGATCATAGCTCAGTTTTAACCTTTATCCGTCTTGCAGCATGCACGCGAATTAGAAACCAAACGAAGGGAGGCCGAGGAAAAAGAGAGGAGGAAACAGAGGGAGGTGCAGATGGAGCTGGAGAGACAGCTGAAAGAGGCCGAGACGGTAAGAGAAAGGTTCTTTAGATGACAATGCTTATTTACAATTTGCCGAAATTGGATTCAGAGTCCTGAAAACCGCACAAAAACATTGGCATTATAAAAGTCAGGCTTAACCTTCAGTGATTTCTAGTGGTGGAGAAGCGGTAATGACATTCCTGGAAAAGGTGATTCAGGAATAGGTCAGTTCTTTCCACCCAATTGTGTGTGTGTGTGTGTGTGTGTGTGTGTGTGTGCGTGCGTGTGTCCTCCTAGTTGAGAGACAGCATGCAGGCAGAGATGCAGGAGAAGGAAAAGGAGGCTGAGCAACAGAGAAAGAGGATCCTGGAGTTGGAGCTGACGCAGCAGAGACTGGAGGCTGCTCTCAACATGGAGATCCAGGCCCGGCTGGAGGAGGAGAGGGCCAGACTGGAGCTGGAGAGGTAATAAACAAACACACCCACAATATTCCCATTGAAAATGTTTGACACCTTCACAAAATTGTGACCCAGATTTTATATTGTTGACATTTATGGACATTTATCCACGACATACATACAGATAATGATATTATTAAGTAGAAGTCACACTAAACATAAAATATGTGTATAACGTCTGTGTTCAGATATAACTGAGTTATGATTCAGAGAAAGAGCATGATTTTTACGCAAATTGCAGCAATTGGACACCTTAATTGCCTCTGCGCTGTAACTGCTGCCCATAAAGTCACGGTGGTAAGCAAGTAAATTCGAGTGGGCCACGTCTCTCCCTCTGAGGACCAGCGCCACACAGTTTGAAAACCTATTCTAAACCAAACGTCTCCTCTCCAGGTTGCTGCGGGCGGAAGAAGCGAAGAAGAAGCAGTTCCAGATGCTCCAGGAGCAGCAGAGGGCCTTGCAGTGCCTCAGCTCCATACTGGAGGCCTCAGACGACAGTCCAGACGATCACACCCCCTCAGCTCTTCACTCGGCCTCTCAGGAGCTCCAGGATCTGCAGGCTTCTCGCCAGAGGAGCCACCAGCACCTGGAGGTAAGATAGAGACAGTGTGTTTGGATTGGCTCAGTTTGCAGCATGCTTAATCCTTTCAACAGCTCATTCGAAACCACTTGTTCGTTTTTCTTATTTCAGGAGTTACAAGAGAAGCTGAGGTATGCCAGTCAACACGTACGACACTGGAACGTCCAGCTGAACCGCCTGATGAAGCCCATCGGTCCTGGAGGTGCAGTATGCTCTTAGTCTGATCTATTAGGGGTGAAAATATTAATAAAAACCTTTTTTAGTTTTAAAATCCTTCAACATTAATCTGGATCTGCATCGAAATCTAAGCATTTGTTCCCTGAACCATGGTCTAACTTTACACTCAATTTGATTGAAAACATGTTTTTCAGATATTCAGCTAACAAACAAATAACTCCTAAAATTACCACTTTTGCAATCCTGACCTCAAAGTCAAATGTTTCATCACAAAGATCAAACTTTGTTGTTATTGGGTTTTTTTGTTTTTTTTTGCAGACCGTTTGGAACATCGCCTATTATCAAAACACATGTGTCCCAAAAAGGAAGGAGCGCTGGCCAGTAACGAGTTCATCTCCAAATTCAAGATAAGAGCGGATCAGAACAGACAGACACCAGAAGACGGCGAGACGCTGGAGGAGCAGATGGAGGCCTCAAAGCTGTCAGATGGATCAGACGAATCGCAGAGAAAACCCAACGGACAAATGTGATCCGAAAAGTTTCAAATATAGTTCATCGTGCGTTTAAAGCTGAGAGTGGAAAGGAGAAGAAGTAAAGCTATTTACAATATAGAAATGTTGTATTATATTTATATTTTGAAATGCACACTAAGAGGGAGACCAATGACGACAAGCACAATGTGATGCATGATTTAAAGAGAACACATTTGACGAAGATCAACTGACATTTACAGTTCTGTACAATACATTTTATTGGTGAATACTAAAACATCATTTTGTGATATTGGTCATTTCTGTGGGCAACACATTTGAATTACCACAACATCTCTCTATTGTATCCTGATAACTGAACTCACAGGAAGTTATGTTTGGAAGTAATAAATCTGGCAAAGTTATTGTTTCTACTGTGTCTTAACTAATACAGCAGGGCAACTAATTAGAATAAGACAAATGTCCTTCCCTGGTTGGCCAATTAAGTTTTATTCTTCAAAGATACAAAAAATAATATTAGGGATCATAATAATAAAATTAGTTGACATGAATTATTATTCATTTAGGGAATCATGTGTTAAATTAATTTTATTTTGTACAACGTCAATAAAGTCATGTGACATTGTGACCTGTAGGAGGCGCTGCAGCGGGAAAGAACCGAGACGTGAACCGGAAAGAAAATAAATTCAACCCCCCGGTGACGTCAATAAACATGGCGGCTCTCACGACAGTGTCATGCTGACCGTTAGCTACGATATTTTTAGTTTTAAGTTCATTCATTGCAGTTTTTCCAGGCAGATCATGGGTCTTTATTAACATCATCGGGTGACGCCATGTTGTCATCAGTGGTCCCCAGAGGGACGGTCAGGTCGCTGGTCTCTCTGAGCAGGAGACTGTCCACCAACCAGGACGGAGCTCACCACCCTCCGCCCGAGACCTCCGCTCCTCTCCCGCACAGCGAGGAGCGGAGACCCGCGAAGGACCCCAGCGGCTGCTCCGTACTCCTCTTCCCCGGCCAGGGCAGCCAGTTCGTGGGCATGGGCAGAGGACTCGTGAAGTACCCGAACGTGAAGGAGATGTTCTCGGCAGCCCAGAAGATCCTCGGGTACGACCTGCTGTCTCTGTGCCTGGAGGGACCCGAGGAGGAGCTGATGAAGACGGTCCACTGCCAGCCGGCGGTGTTCGTCACCTCGCTGGCTGCGGTGGAGCGGCTCAACCACGAAAACCCAAAGGTGGCTGATAAAAATAAATGATACTACAGTATAAAACTGTCTGTTAAAGTGAAAAAATACAATGTATTTGCATCATTTTATTGGCTACTCATTGTGCAGAAATGCCCATTTCAGACTCTTATATATTTAATAGCTGGATTATTATTATTGATGCGTTAATGTGTGCATTACTGTAATGTTAAAGGAGGATCATTTGTATTACATACTATTATATTTTGTATGAATAATCTAACATCTGCAAAGTAACTAGTAATTCAAGTTATCACGGTAATGTTGTGGAGTAAAAAGTATATTTGTATTAGTAATGTGTTGGAGCTGATGTTAGGAACTTAATATTTATTAATAACAATGCATCTTATTTAGATTTCTATCTCACTCTTTACACTTCTGTCCGCAGGCCATTGAGACGTGTGTTGCTGCTGCAGGTTTCAGCGTCGGAGAATTTGCTGCCCTGGTATTTTCTGGCGCCATGAACTATGCAGAAGGTAAACGTGTTTCTTTACTCGTGCATGACAAAGATGCTGCTCGGTTTAAAGTTAACGTGTCATATGTGTCCCGCGCCGTGTCTTCCAGCTCTGTATGCGGTGAAGGTTCGTGCAGAGGCCATGCAGAGAGCATCAGAGCTGGTTCCTAGTGGGATGCTGTCAGTCATCGGTAGACCTCAGGCCCAGTATAAACATGCGTGTGCGCAGGCTAAAGAGCACTGCAGTAGCCTGGGGGTCGAGGAGCCGGTGTGCTCCGTGGCCAACTATCTGTTCCCTGATGGCCGAGTCATCGCGGGGCACCAAAAGGTATGGAGCAGTTTTGATCCAAAGTACAGCTATGTACAACTGATGCTGAAATAATCTCATTCAGCGTCACTGTGTTGTCTTCTCAGGCTCTGGATTTCCTGCTGCAGAACTCGCGGCGTCTCCAGTTCGCGAGGACCAAACCTCTCCCGGTCAGCGGGGCGTTTCACACCGAGCTGATGCAGTCGGCTACTGAACCCCTCAGAGAGGTGCTCAGACAGGTGGAGGTCAGTCTAACTTTTTATTTTAAAGACACACCAGCCCGTTCATGGTGTTATGTATTACAGTAATATGATGATTTCTATGTTAATTGCTTATTTCTTCCATTTTGGGCTTTGGAAATGTAATAATAAACATGTAGTTAATAGCCACATCCTGCCCACAAGACACGCACATTAGCCGCCGCTCTTGGAAAGGTTACACACCGTGACTGATCGAGTGCTTCACGTCTAACTCGTGGATTTCTTTCCCGTTCAGGTGCGCCGGCCCGAGATCAACGTGTACTCCAACGTGGACGGCAAACGCTACATGAACGAGAGCCACGTGCGCCGGCAGCTGGTGAAGCAGCTGGTGTCGCCCGTGAAGTGGGAGCAAACTCTGCACGAGATCTACGAGAGGATGCAGGGGAAGAAGTTCCCTCACACCTACGAGGTCGGGCCGGGGAAGCAGCTCGGGGCCACACTTCAGAAGTGTAACCGGAAGGCCTTCATAACGTACACTCACGTGGAAGTCACCGCTTATGAAGACTGATAAAGCAGAAAAATGGGCCTCTGTGCTCATTTTAGTGTGGACATGACCAGCAAGACCTGTTAAACCTGCAAGCTCCTGTGGTTGCTTCTTATGGTCTTGTATTATGATTATGTAATTAAATGTTTTTTTTATCAATGAAACTACAAAATGTCATTATTTAGAAGTTTATTTGCATGAAAAAGAAACAGAAAGTCCAGCTCCCTTCATTTTTTTTTTATTAAGCCAGGCTGCATATGTAAAAATGTTGGCCTCTTAAACCAGTAAGAAACTAATCTGGATACAAAAGACTGCAGGCCAGCAACAGTCCAGTCATGGGAAACATGCTTTTTGACATTTAATACAACTGTGAACCAACTGCTACTGCTACAATACGCTGGCCAACTCCCTGGGGCAACACTGGAAAAACCCTTTTAAACAATTCCCACATGCCCCGACAAATTTAACAGTATTATTGTTTTTTAAATCTTATTTACGGTCGTATAGCGTCAAATTCAAAACACCTTTCAAATAGTATAAAAAGAGAAGTCAAAGTAAACGGCAGAAACAAACATTTAGCAATAATTGTCATTCATTTGCAAACATATTTTGGTCGAATATATAATGGCCTAAAAGACCTGCTCATGGCCCCTTTTTTAGGCTTTCCATTCCACCCATAGTGCACCGAAAATGGTCACTGCAGCCACCAGTGCCACAGTCACCAGTGCTCCTCTGGTCCAGCCAGTGCAGGTTACTGGTTTCAAACTGGACACCTGTGAGATGAAAGGAAGTCAAGTTATTCTTTTGATAATTTAGCAACAAAACAAAAGCGATGCATGTAAATTATATTTGTGTCTGAATTCTGAGTGCGATCAGACATTTTGTACTCCTATGAAGTGTGAGTGTTACCCAGGCTGCCCAGGCGTCCGCTCTGAGGATCCCCTGCCCAGGCGCAGCGCTCGCTATCCAGGCCTTCACCACAGCAGACAGGCCCTGGAAGCCCCATAACCGACTGTGGATATCTCTGGACGACAAGAAGTTACAATGTCTTAACAGCCAGTCACGTAAAAAGGTGAAGAGGTAGATTACTATTTTTTCCTGATTTCATACCGATATATGGTCCTTGTCAGTGCCTGAGCGGGTCTCAGCATGTGGAGAGGAGTTGGCAGCCAGTTTGGCGGTCTGCCGGTCCACTCCCGGTCCAGCTGATCTCCGATTACAGCCAACTGGTGCCCAAAGGCCCGTGCAGCTCTGTCATTTATCCTACACACACACACACACACAAAATTACAGTATAGTGTGTACATTTTGTGTTTTTTATATTTATTAAATGTAGAAACAAAACATCCCTCCACCAAAGACTCAAACTAAAGCCTTTTTATACATATTGTTTATTTCTGGTACTATGGATCCCACATGGTCTGTTGCCTGAAGCTGTTGTTGTCAGGACTAATGCAGGTGAAGGGCCGGTGCTGTACCTGAGGTTCACGTCAAACAGGGTGTCCATGTCCACGTCACCAGGTCCAGCCTGGGGGGACACGACACGACTCGGCTGTCTTGTTTGTTCCACCATGTTGTTTGCTGAGAGGAGAAACCGGTTTTATTCAAATAAGTCACATGAGCCCACATGAGAGAGAGAGAGAGAGAGAGAGAGAGATAGTTCCAGGCAGAGATAGATAGCAGCTCCATGGTTTGGAAGCGTTATCGCTGCTTGACTCCCAACGTTCATAAACAGGCTATGTAAACACGGGCTCCTGTGACCAGGATAGGCGGTGGCTGTGTTACCGGGGGGGGGGGGGGGGAGCCAGGTTGGTAAAACAGGCTCTCCCAGGTTTGAAGAGATGACATCACCTGTTCGATTAAGTCCATTTACTACTGTATACACCAACACAAGTGTGTTAAAGTTCTCCGTTGTGTCTCTAGAACTAGTGTATACACAAAACTCCATCTAATCTACCTTTTATTACTGGATTTATGACTTGTTATTCTCCCCAACTGTCAGGTGTGTTCCCTGATACACGCACCTGTCCTCAGACCAGTTCCTGGTGTACCTGCACTCATGACTTAATGCAAATGCGCCATTTCCATAACTCAAATCAACCAAACTGCCCTTATTAGCTCACCAAGACGAAATAAACCACCACTGGCTCCAAATAATGTACTCATGGACTTTATAGATTTATACTTTCTATAAAGTACAGAACAAAGTTTGTGTAAAAAGTATAATTACATGGATTTATGTTTATTGTGTTTATACCTATTTAAAGACAAGAACACCATCATAATATAGCCCATAAATGTGGGAACTGTACTAATATGATCATGGCTTAAGCTCCAAAACAATATCCAGAGGACAGTTTTCGAGTATAGCCTGTTGTTCTTCGCCATACTGTATTGTCATAACAAAGAGATGAAGTCATCCTTCACAACCAAAGCAAACAAAGGTCGTTTTGAAGATCATAGATTGCACATTAGCAGATATTAATTAATCCTAAAATGACTAACAACCTTTACAAAACAACAAGTATATAGTAGTATGTTGGAATAGTATTATGTTAGATATTAAACAGATATCTATGCTCCCGCTCAGACAGTAAAACAAGTACATGCACAATAAAAAAGTAAAATAGAAGTAAACCTACCTTCTGTGTAGATTAAAGTGGACGCCGCCCTGTAATACATACAAAGACATAATAATTGAAACGCTTTGTAAGTAATAAAATGAAGAAATATTGGTGTGGTTTGTCCCTGTACTTACAGCAGCGTCCTTTAATCTTGTTGCTCTCAGGTAACTGCCACAGATATGACTGGACACGCCTTTACATGCTGCGACCAAGAGGCTGCTACCAGCAGGGGCCGACAGGATCCCCATCAAACAGAAGATACAGCTTTGTTTTAGCAAAAGCCATTTACATTTCTGAGTTCTCCGTTTTTATTTTCTCTATCTGCTCGTACTAATAACATAATCTTTGTCTGCAAGGGAAATAAAAAAAATGTTCCCAACATCTTTCAGTGTGGAAAGTTGTTTTGCATCCCCAAACAATACTATATTCAATTTATTTCCAATACTGTCCCTGCCTTATGGTACAATTGTGTTGTTGCTATGTAACCTGTTGCATTTTGTGTGATATTCTCCTGTTCTGCATAGTTTTAATCATTTATTAATTGATTAATTAATTGGTATTTGGTGTTCTAACTTATGTAATATGTTGTGCTTATTACTTTACACTTATATATAATAATATATGTATATATAATGTTATGATAATACATACAAGATCGTGTCCCTTTGATTCAATCGTTTTTGTAGAAATGTTAAGTCACTAAATCTGTACAATGTTTTTGTAAACCTATTTGTTTTTATTCACAAATTATTTTTATGTCAAATTGGGTTGTAAATCAGAGGCACATATACAGATATTTAAAGATATAAGCCATTCTTCATTTATTTCTGCACTACTACTGTCTGACCAGACACTGCCACCTGATGGTACACTGACGTAACGACGTCCAGCAATGACATCACCGCGTCCTCCGTTGCTAGGTTATGCTTCCGGGAGGACCAAGCCCATGACGACGTCGTTTAACGCGCTCGAGACATTTCTTGCTTTAAGAAAAATCCTTTAAAAAAATTGCAATTACGTCGCAATTGAATTCATCGCGTGTGTATATGTCATCAATTTATCAACGACTTTTATTGTGAAGAGTAGTTTGACCGCGGTGGGCGTCTCATCACCGTTGTGCAGCTTTACGACGCTGGAGATCAATACATATAGTCAGCTTGCTTGCAATCAAACCGCCAACATAGATGCAGCTTATTTGATGTAAACCGGAGCGAACAATGATGCCGACAAAGCTGTCGCCGTGTTCCGCCAGCTAAACGACAGGCTGGTGAGATTGCATCACTGACTGGGTGATGTCCGCCCTGCAGCCTCTGCAGCAGTCCTGGGAGGAGGATCCAGCAGCCTGCTAACAGAGCCAGCCCCGGCTAGCTGATGCTGATGACTGGCTGTTTCTTGACATTGATTTGCAGGTAGGGCACTGGTGCACGGTAGCTGCATGCTCTCTTGAATCTGTTTGTTTCTATCTGCTTACCTGTTGTTGTTTTTGTGCTCCACCCTGGTGGGAGGCATCATGGCCGGTAAGGTGAAGTGGGTGACAGATATTGAGAAATCGGTGCTCATCAACAACTTTGAGAAGAGGGAATGGGTTCAAGTGACAGAAAATGACGACTGGAATTTCTACTGGTGAGTTCACACCTTATCCTCACTCCATGTGACTCCTTACTCCATCAACACTATCCTCTGCAAGCCCCATACACAGTATGCTGTGTGAGAAGTACTCATGTTCTTTGCCTATGAAGAAGTACCAACAACACAATGTACAACACAAGCAAAGGTCATGCATTTAAAATTTTGTAGGCAAAATATGAATGTAAAAACCAGTGACTAAAGCAGTCAAATGAATGTCGTGGAGTAAAAAGTACACATGCCTCTGAAATATAGTATAGTAGAAGTATTAAGTAGCATAAAATGGAGGTATTCTGGTAAAATACAAGTACATATACACGTATTTCTTGGCTCCAGACTCCTCAGATCACCATAATGCAGGTTTGTTTGTACCCACGTGTAGGATGAGCATCCAGACCATCAGGAATGTGTTCAGCGTGGACACCGGCTACCGCCTGTCAGATGACCAGATGGTTAACCACTTCCCCAACCACTACGAGCTGACCAGGAAGGACCTGATGATCAAGAACATCAAACGCTACCGCAAGGAGCTGGAGAAGGAAGGCAGTCCGCTGGCAGAGAAGGACGAGAACGGGAAATACAATTATCTAGGTGTCCATTAGAGGGATGATTGAAGAAATTCACACATTCTTTTCCCATACAAAGCAATATATATGTTTATGTATTTGTTTCTATGTTTCATGCAGATTTTGTCCCCGTGACGTTCATGCTCCCCGCCGATTATAATCTCTTTGTGGAGGAGTACCGCAAGAACCCGTCCAGCACCTGGATCATGAAGCCCTGCGGGAAGGCTCAGGGCAAAGGCATCTTCCTCATCAACAAACTGTCCCAGATCAAGAAGTGGTCCAGGGACAGCCGCACCTCCACGTGAGTTACCGTGAGGGTACTCTTTGCATAGAATTGCATGGTGCCGTACATTGTCTTTTAGTAAAAATAACCAAAAACAATTTTAAATGTAATTGCCCACGATGACCAGTATAATCCACTTCATCAGCATTTCATTCCCAGGTAAACGTCCAAATCTGTTCATGTTCGTCAGAGGTTTGTGATTTTAGCTTTTTGCGTCTCTGCCCTCAGGTTTGTAGCAGCGTCTAGTGGCAAGGAGGCCTACGTGATCTCCCTGTACATCGACAATCCTCTGCTGATAGGAGGGAAGAAGTTTGACCTGCGTCTCTACGTTCTGGTGACAACATATCGGCCTCTGAAATGCTACATGTAAGCCCTGAATATATAGGAAGTAGTTTTTACGTTGAATATTACCACCATTTAGAAGTAATGAATTATCATCTTCATGTAACAGAAGACAGATGGTTTGGGCTGTTGGTAGAATAAAACAAGCTATTTGAACACCTTTGGCTCTGGTGAAATGTAACAGGCATTTCCCACTATTTTCTGATACGTTATAATCGATTAATAGAGAAAATAGCAGGCGGCTTAATCACTAATGACAATAATCGCTTGTGGTTTGATCCTCAGGTACAAGCTCGGCTTCTGTAGGTTCTGCACAGTCAAGTACACGCCCAGCACCAGTGAGCTGGACAACATGTTTGTTCACCTCACCAATGTGGCCATCCAAAGACATGGGGTAAGTCTGTATCTGGTGACTGATCCATAACATTCCTCTCAAAGCTAACCTGTGCATCTTTTTGCAACAAAACTCAATGCAAACTCCCCCAAAACTGCGAAAAATGTAGTTTGACTTTGTACCTTTTACCGCAGGATGACTACAACCACGTCCATGGAGGCAAGTGGACGGTCAGTAACCTCCGGTTGTACCTAGAGAGCACCAGAGGGAAGGAGGTGACCAGCCGACTGTTCGACCAGATCCACTGGATCGTGGTGCAGTCACTGAAGGCCGTGGCTGTAAGTAGACATGAAGACTTTTTTACTTCAAAATTTCATTTTCCAAAATATGTCACAATTACTACATGCTAACTGACATTGCAACATTATAAGGATTTTAGGAAGTTTGTCCTAATTATGACACCTATAATAAACTTAGTGCCTGTAGTGGAAATACTAGACACCCTTAGATTGCAGGTTCAAATCCGGCTCCAAGGAGTGATTTTTAACTGTAAAATGTCCTCTAGCACGTGAAACAAGGAAGTAGGAATAAAAGGAACTGAGGTGGATAGTGAATTCACTCTAATGTGAAAAAAAAGTGAATTCTTCATACTTTTTATTTACTGTTTATTACTAACTCATAATATATGTATACTGTGAAAACAGATCTTTTTACTCCCAATACATTGATATTTAGGCTGATCATTGTTCCCGACTTGACTACATTTCAGAGGAGTTCATGTTTTGATATAATTTGTTACGTTAAATCAATATGTTGTGAACAGCTGGTGAATACAGTCAGTAGAGATTATGACTCCTCGTCTCCCTTTGATAGCACAGCTGGAAGATCTGGTTCGAATTCGTCTGAAAACAGTAGTTTATTAGTATTTCAACCCACAGTGTACCCATGGAAAAAGGGCCATGGGTACTTTGTGGGTGGTTCAAAACCCACTGCTCCACACATGTCGCAGACTCCCGTCATTGTGTTAATACTTTGTTCCTGTTGGGTCTTTTTTTTTTAGCGTTCAGTAATGTGGGCTCGCACTTTTAAACACACACCTGTACAAACCACCTCCATGTGGGGATTTCTTTTTGTTTTGAGCGCACTCAACTCAATGCACACTTCCCTTTCTTAATAAATGGTCTGACTCATTTCCCCTCTCCGGCCTCGACACACAGGTTACTTTGTGCGTCCTCTGGTATATTTTTACTCCATTCGCTCACACCGTTTCCTGCAGAATCATTCTCTGTTTCACATCTATTGTGAAATAAAAAAATCCCCAACAATGAGCAACAGTGTAGGTAGATTCCTCTTCCTAATTCAGCCTCCCTGTTTTCTCTCTCCCAGCCTGTGATGAACAATGACAAGCACTGTTTTGAGTGTTACGGTTATGACATCATCATTGATGACAAGCTCAAGCCGTGGCTTATTGAGGTGAGTAATCTAACAGGAGGAGTTATTACACGCATGCACACCTACAACTCCCATAAAATGGTTTGAATTTACTAAAAGTTAACCTCTGCTGTTTCAGAACATCTTGTTTTTATTCGCCTTGTTCCTATGGCGTACTTTGCCAAACCCAAAAACACTTAACATGCTTACACACTGACTCCACGTTCTTTTTCCTTCAGTGTTAAGCAACTTTAAATGCCCCTGAGGTTGATCTCTGTGTGTCTGTGTTTGAACGTGTGCCTCTCAGTATTCAAATGTGTGCTGAAGGTGTGTCTTTAACCCATTCAGTGCATTGTTGTTTTCAAACTGAGTCTGCACCAAGTAATACAGGCTATTTGCTGGCTTGTCTTTAGCTTAAAATAGGATGCCTCTGTTTTAACATTTTAAATATTGTGCTTGTCGTGTGGCTGTCGTATTTTACTGCACTCACTGTGACCGACGTGCAATGAGCTGGGTTTCCAGGTTAGGCCTGAACTATTTCTGGTAACAGAAACCAACCTGATCTATTTCAGGCGACATGAAGTTGACTCTTTTAGTGAGGGACTGAAAAAATATGTGCCACATTCTGCAAGGAATACTAGACTTTGTTCAATATTCCTGCAAGTATGTATGCAAGCAGCCAACTGTCATTAACAGGCAATGCAAAACAAAAAGGGAGAAGCTTACTTAAGGGATTAAGTGTGTGTGTGTGGATATCAAAGTTGCTGTGTCATCTCTTGCCGCTCCTTCTTCTTCTTTGAATGTGTGTTAATGAGCTCAGCTGTAAAAGTCTCCGTCTTCGTCTGTGTCCCTCTCAGGTCAATGCCTCGCCCTCGCTGACCTCCAGCACAGCCAACGACCGCATCCTGAAGTACAACCTCATCAACGACACCCTCAACATCGTCACGCCCAACGGGGACATCCCGGACTGCCGCTGGAATCGCAGTCCGCCCCGAGAGGCCCTGGGCAACTATCAAGTCCTGTGAGTGATGTTAAAATCTATTCAGACAAACTCAACGGCCTGACTGCAGCGTAAACACGAGACATCCTTAGGTCGCAGGTTCAAATCCGGATCCAAGGAGTGGCTTTTGACTGTGCGTTGTGGAATATACTGTTCTACAGCATTTGTAATAAGTTCATATTTCACTGATGAGGTTTGTGATGCAGTATGGTAGGAAAGTGAGTAACTCAGGATAAAGTGTGGTTAGACTATGACAACGTAATAGGGCTATTAAAGTTTAAAAAAAGATCATAAAGTTGGGGAGGGGCTAATATTCTGAAAAAAAAACTTGGAGATTATCAAGTCCTAAATATATAAATACTTATAGATATTTAAAAATCTATATTGGAAAAAAGTCCAGTCAGATTTTGTTGGCTGTCAACTCTGTGCCCTTCGATAGCTCAGTTGGTAGAGCGGAGGACTGTAGTGGGGATAACAGGGATCCTTAGGTCGCTGGTTCAAATCCGGCTCGAAGGAGTGACTTTTAAATTTGTAGCTGGTAGTGCAACAAAATGCACTTGATACTGCTCTTTCTGTAAACATATACCTGCACAGCAACAGTAGATTTGAGGAGGAAATGTATACTGTGAAAATGTGCTGTAGCCAATACGTTGACCATGTTGAACTGGTGATCATACTTTATGGTAGTCTCCGACTTAAGTACATTTCAAAGGAGTGGCTTTTATTCAACAGAGTTCATGTGTTATTATATGTGAGGTTACAACAACAGGTGATGAACAGATGGTAAAGACAGTAAAGATAGCAGGTGCCCCATTCTGAACACTATGTGTGCTTTGGCACCTTGTTTAAATATGATTTCTATGTAAAAACAACCAGAGGGAGGAAATGACTACGTTACTCTCCGCCTCGACTGACTCTGACTCCCTTCTCTAAACTACACCAGTTTGTTAATGATTAATTGTGAACAGTTAACAGGAATGCATATTGCTACTGTTGCATTTGCCAACAGAGCGGAGGACGGTCGTGGATGTACCAGAAGGAATACCCTTTAGTAAAAGTATATTTTTGGCACAGATTTTCCTGATATGAAACCCATTGAATAAATGTTTACTGTGTAAACAAGGTGCTAAAGCACACACTACCTTCACTGTTGTGTTCATAATGGATGACCTACTGTTGGACGACGACTCTCACGTCGTGTTGATTCTTGAGACTGAAGTATCACTCGATACTCCATGGACATCCAGTTCATTGTCATAGAAAGACACTCATATTGTATGTACCTGCTGGTCATCAGCTTGTAACATGACAAATTTTGTCATAAACATTAAGGTTATGCTCCTAAAACCTGCTCATTGTAACTATTCTAGAATGAACAGAGTACCTATATTAATAACTGAATTAGTGTTCACATTATGTTGAGTAGGAATAGTGCTAAACAATATAGATCATAGGTTTAAACACTTAAAAGTCACTCCTTCGAGCCGGATTTGAACCAGCGACCTAAGGATATCTTGCATAGACACTACAGTCCTCCGCTCTACCAACTGAGCTATCGAAGGGTTGAAAGTCACTCATTGTAATGTGGGTTTAGCAGGGTGGTATTGTTTGAGTTAAGCCCCTTGTTTGCATAATCTATAGTCCATGTGAAGGCAAAGAGCAGGGCCAACAGGAGGTCCCTCACGCATATATTCCTCCGTCTCTGATTCCCTCTGTGTGTCAGCAGGTATGACGAGGAGCAAGCGCAGAGCGAGAATGCCGAGCGTGACCTGCGGAGCCGCTCTGGTCAGTCCCTGGGGTCAAAGGGCACCAAGGGGAGTGCAGGCGTTCGACCCGCTGCCGCCACCTGGAAGTGAGGTGACACTGCGGACTCCTAATGACTTCCTGTACATCATGACAGGGTCCAACAGTGGGGTACGGGGGATTAAAAAAGAAAAAAGAAAAAAGTCTGTTCCCTGTCTCCACATTTCACTGACTGAGTTCACAGGGGGTGGCAACTCTGCTGCTGGAGGGGAGGAAAATCAACAATGTGGTCATATTTGGGGAGTTTAAAGGCCGGAGTTTGTCTCTGTTTGTATGAATGAGTAACTAAAAATGTAGACATTGTGTCGGTGGTGTCAATAACTCAACAGCAGTTCCCACCCACAGCCGAAGCTCCCTAAGAAGATGAGGAAAAAAAACTGAAAACCAATGGATGACACCTTGGGAGAGAACATTCTAACAGAAAGATCCCTGTCCTTGGATGGCTAGGGCGGCCAAAATGGCAACTACACAAATGAAAAGAAAGTTGTATGTTGTATACATCAATAGGATTTAAAATCCACCGTGATCGAGAAGGATTGCAACGACCTGAACTATGCATGATTACCGAGTCCTCACACTCTGACTAGACTGACCACACAGGTGCTATAAAGAAGGAGCTCTGTGAGACGAAAAAAGAAGACAGAGGAACAAGAGATCTCACTAATACAAGATATAATATACTGACAGGCAGAATTTACAGTACTAAATGTGTATAGACCGCAAAATAGAATTGAATCATGTTTTTTTATATGTTTATTATCAATATGCATATGCAGGGGGGTTCATTATGATTGATTGTATTCAGTGCTGAACCCCATTGTCCCTCATTACTTTGCTTGAATAAATAATAGATATGTTGCATTTTGAGTTGGACCGCTGACGCCATATCTGCTGCTCATCTAGAATCTTAAATACTAACATGTGTTGGGAATGTTGGGAACATTGTTAGCTGTCAACCGAAATATTGAAACACCGATGATGAGTTGATCTATTTTGACACACTGAAGGTATTTCAGTTTTTTGCAGTATAGTCATTTTATAGTATTTTTAAACAAAGTGACAATGTGTCACCAGATAAACTTAGCTTTTAGAGCCATTTGGAAATAATGTATTACTTCAGTAATGATTCGGGTGATTTTAAAGAAAAGAGAAGGGCAGTGTGCTCACCCATCAATCAAGGCGTAAGTCTATAATTAAGATTATCATGAAAATCACTCTGTTTACTCTAAAACAAGGGGCGTCTTTTGTCAATAGATGAAAGAAAGGTGGTGAAAGGTTTCCAGAGTAAACAAGCAGATTGTGATTCAATCAAGTTCTTGCTGTTGCTTGCAGTAAAGTCTCTGCGTGGCACCGCTCCTTGAAAGTTTGACACTCCTGATCTGTATAAGTCGTTGTTGATTTATACACATTTATTGAGAGATTAATCAAACTCTGAGGTGTGTCGAATAAGGAACAGGGTTGACATGAGAATAGGTTCCCACCTGATGGTTTTCGCTTCTTTATTGTGGTTATAGACTGTGCAGCGTTTGTTGTGTTCATGACATGAAGCCTTTCTGTTTTGGGCTTCTCTTTATGAGAAGTGCATCAATGCCTTTAAGTTTGTGTCGACCTTTTAAATAAAATATCTATATTGGTGCTGCCTTGACAATAAATAAATGCTCATTTTAGAGTGAGTGAATGTGTTTTTGTGGTTTCAGTGAGCTGGTCCTTTACATTTTTATAGAAATGTGTTATCTAAAGTATTTTTAAAGTGTCTACAATCCAGTTAAGAGAAAGATTTGATCTAACAGCTCTCATCTAACTTCTCACAAATCAAAAATAGCAACGTAGATATAATGTTATATATCTCTATACAGATATATTATTAGCCTACATGGGGAAACAAGCTATCCTACAGCTCTACTTTAGTTTGCAGCTTGACATGCCCTAGAAGCCTCTCTAGGGCCCCTGGAGGGCCCTAGACAGACCTCATAGCGGGAACCAGTGCCCAGGGTGCCTCATGATAAAGTCACCAGAACAACTTTTTTAAGGGATGTGACGTCAGACAGCCGCGCCTCTCCCTAGTTTGCATGATGAAGCTAGCGAGTCTTACTATTGCAAGGGCGGATGTTAGGTGAATGAAAATAAAGGTAGGTGTTTGGCCCTCGCTGTGACACTGTGGTGCCTCAATTGATAATACAAATGTAACCTAATTATGTTGTTGGCAATGAATATGATTTTATATTTAGGCTACATAAAATATATTTGTCATTTCATCTCGAAGTATAGAATACTCTCACTCGACATTTACTTGTTTACTTTTCACCCTTTCACTGCTAGTCTTATTTTGAAAAGGTGGGCCGGATGCTCCGTGCCGTGCTGTGGCTAAGTGACGGTGGTGTCAGTCAGTCGGTCGATGGTGCTGCCGCTGCGGAGCAGAAAAACGGGCGAAAAGATTTGGGGAATTGACACCACCAAGAGAATTTAACTCTTCACTTAAACACGACCCGTCAACGGGAATAAACCGGTGCCAGGTGAGCTTAAACAAATACTTTGTACGTGTTATCGGTTAACTTTTTAGCCAAGGAGGTTTGTGGGTAATTCGCCAACATTTGAGCTGACGTCAGGGGGCTAACTTTAAAGTTAAGGAGGATGGCACTGTGGTCAAAGTTTTACACGATTTAAGTTAGTAAAATACATGACAATAGAGGTAATTCAGTGACGTATGTTGTGTATTAGGATATAAGATACAAGTTAAACTAGTTCGCCATTGACTCTCTGTATCAGAGAGACTAACGTTAGTGTTTCATTGCCTGGAGTGATGAAGGGCGGGGCAGGGTTTCGCAAATAAAGATAACCTCCTGGTCGATGTCATATATCATCCTGCATGCTATGCCTACAATATTACATACTTTTATATTATTTCCTATGGAGAGAGTCCAGCCAGTGGGTTTTGCATTGCGCAGTGCCAACTTGCTGCCAAGTTCAGTCCTGACTCCTGATACTTCTGCACATTTCACCCAAGTTACATGTGCAGAAGTATATGTTAGGTTTCTCATTGGAGTGGCTGCAATGCTGGGATCATTTTACAGAAGTCAACACGAGGTTATTAATCACTTGGAGCAGGAAGGAGGGAGCCTGGCCTATTTTCTGTGTGTGACAGTCAATACTCATGACATTGTAATGAATCAGTGGAAGTTGACAGTCATGCAGCTGAGTATTTAGACGTGCCTAGTGACTGCAAGCTTTTATATGTGGTTTGTGTTTGTTGGGGGAGTATTGTTGTCAGGGTGAAGCAGTAGTGAAAGCTCTGTGGTTCCCCTTTTTTTGTCTGGGGGGCCATGCATGTGAACTGATCGCTCTGCTCTGTCACAGAACCAAGCTAAACTTAGACTGGGTATCCCAATTTAGGCTGAAGGCTCTGCTCTTCCATTTCCAGGGAATCTTTGTTGGTGTATTCTCCACGATCAGACTCGCACACAAAGCAGCTAAAAGGATATGAGCCATTGTCCAGCAGAATTGAGTCATGTAATTCATGTAGCCGTAGTCGTATGAGCGAACATCAACTACATGCGCCATAGCTGGACTCAAAGAAAGCAGAAAAACAGGGGTAGAGAGAATTGCTGTATGTGCACAGATACAGTATAGAAGAAGACACCATAATAGGTCACAGGGCTACCAGATGACTCTTGTTTATGGCACTTTCCTGAAAGGTCTGCAGCTTCAAATGCATCACATGAGACTCTGCGTGCAGGACCGGGGCTTCCACAGGAAAAAGGGCACAATTTGCCCGTCGGTGACGTCAGGATCTCCCCTTCCCTGTCATGTAATAATTTCCCTCTATTATGTTCCTCTTTATGCCGCTGGCCTGTCCATTGGAAAATGCTTGAAAGTGTGGAACAAATGCCATTGTTTTTCCACCTGACCGTGGAGCAAAGGGGTTTTTGATGAGGCTACAGTGGACCTGGTGTTGATGGACCAACGGTGATCTCTATAAAAGCTGGAGTGAGTTATCGAGAGGTTTGAAAGGCCATGCTGCTGTCGGATCAGCAGTCCTGTGCAGCTGTTGAGCTCACACGAGGAAGGAGGGCAGAGGTGAATGACTGACGGGGAAAGAAAATCAAGGTTGTGACCTGCGTCTGCCATGGAAACTTTTGACCTCCAAGATTGTGTGCAACCAGAGAGAAAGAAGCAAAGGAATGGTTGTATTTTTCTCTCTCTCTCACAGCCCAGTCGGGATTTAGCAATGTCCTGCTGGGAAAGTGCAATATTGAAGGGATAGATCGGCTCAGCTGCACTAACCCTCCCTGTGAGATATTGCAGTTGCTTTATGCAACAAAGGAAGGAAATGGAAACTAACACAAAAAAAATATCACCCCTGCTTGGATAAGCAAGTTTCATGCGATTAAGACATTGAAAAAGTAGAGCGCTACAGTATTTTTAAAGCATGCTTGTTATGTAATCGCACCCTCAATCCCCATGGTTAGCTCTTGTACTCATGATTGTGAGTTGAGTGTTGCTGTGTCTTCTTTTATCTTTCTTTAATTTTGAGTAACGGTTGGTAAGTCATTGTAAACCGAACATCTTTGGGTTTTGAGGACTGTTGGTTTTACGTGGGCACGCAGACATTTCACACTGACATTTCGGACGGTCGAAATGATTTTTCAGGATGGAAGCGTTTAAATTGAACTTGTGCATTCTCCTTTAGACAGAACCTGTGAGCGGTGTTTGTTCTTGTTTACACTAACAATCATGCGGACGAGGCTGAACCTCTGCATAAGGCCACTCACCGTGCACACGTTTCCCCTCTCCAGCAGGTACTGATTAGGAGGCCGGCCAGAGTGAGGCGGAACGAACTGTTGAGATTGTGTGACATTATTCTGATGTCCTTGCTATATTCTGCTGATAAGCGTTTGTTCTGAAGTGACTTGCCTCTATCACTACTGTTTAAATAACACGACCCCCCCCCACATCTTTATGAGTCAAATGTGCTCAAAATAACAAAAATTATATAAAATGTGTGTGTAGACTGTGATGAAATACCTCTCAGGTTGATGTCTCTGATTATATTTCCCACTCACTAGACAAACTGCAGGGCAGGTATGCATGTGCCTGTCAGTTGTCTCTGCTGTTGTTTCCTGCTCCTCAGCCATGACACCAGAGCACTCTGGGAAACATAAACACGGGGTGAATAGACACAGTCTAGTCTGCTGGTGGTTTGTGTGGGAAGAACCTGCTCTTGCACACACACAATGGTCTAATATGCCCCGCCGTCTTTCCGACATTGTGCACGTTCGGTTGCGTCTTCTTCACCCATCCTCCGATGTTCCCTTTCCCGGTGGCGGTGGTAGAAGGTCATCAGCCTCTCATGTCGATGTCTAACAGCATAGCACAGGAAGCTTTGATGTGCTTTTAATAACACACACGGCCATCTGTGGCCTCAGCTGGGCACATTCAGCTGTCGCTCTGAATCACCGCTTGCAAATGAACAAACTACGGCTATTTGTGAACCTTACTTCTACTTTTAAAATACTTTAAAGTCCACCTCATCTGTGGCAAAATTTGGATGCAAATTTGTGAAATGATTTGTGAGCCGGTTCAGACGTGGCAGCACTGAGGAATGCATTCGTTTCACTTCTATCTTAAGGCTGCGACCACATTCCAGCATGCTTGGTACTTTTACTTATCAGACTCCAGTGAGTATCACTGTTGTGTTTGATTACGTAATCACTAAGCCTGTAATCTAAGAAGCCCTGTTCAAGTCTCTGCAGCCTTGATGAAATCATGCATTTATCAGCAAGACAGTCGTCTCGTGTGCTTGTCACTTTGAATTTCTGATTACAAAAAACCCAATGTCAGATGGAAAGTTGTCCATCTGACATTCTCTACCAAACGTCCTCGTTCCCATGTGTGTCTTTGCTTGTGCATAGTAGCACTCGGTGTTCTCCTGTCGAGGGGCAGATTAAGTGGACTTCAGACCTGGCTTTAGTCAACAGCATTGTTTACAGTTGTGGGTCAAGCCGCATTCAATTGTTTAACACATTCCCCGCGTCCTGCAGAGCCGAGGGTGACCAGATGGCTGTTCCTGTTTGCTGTTGATTACATCAGGCCTGCGAAATAGCTTCTGTGATAAAAGGAATTCCAAATCCAAAGATCTTTGGGCTATGGAAAGTCATTTTCCATATGTATCTATATGCGTGTCCTTATGTTTTAACTGTACATTCCGCTGGTAGAGCCACTTGATTTAATAGAAACGTGTAGATCTCAGGACTACGAAACACGTGGAGGTTTGTGCTCAGCAGCGTTCGACGCCATGTTTAGAGCAGATATTTGTGTTCCTCTCTTGTGCTGCAGCAATGATTGGTGAATGAAGAATGTGGACAGCTGGTGGGGGGAAATGCCAAAGGGACGAGATGACAAGACTGGGCTGGGTCGTGTGTGATGCTGAGAATTAGGCTCCCGTGTTTTTTTTTTTATTCGTGCATTAATATTGTTATTAATGCTTGTGAGGGTTCTGAAGCAACACAAAACTCTGGACTCACAGTTTCAGTTTTTTATGTTTGTGTAGCCAAAGTTATCCGATTCAATTCACCAGTTATCAAAGTAGCTGCAGATCAATTTTCGGATAATTCACTTAATGTTACAGCTGTTATTATACAGGGAGCCTAATAGAATAGTTTGAGTTTGTGTGTGTGTTTGAGCGACGCATTTGTTTGTTAAAATAAGTGTGTGTGTGTGTGTGGCTGTGTGTTTGACTGACCTGATTGCAAACCACAAACACAGTTAAAGGGAGGATTGTTCCCAAGCTAGCAGTGACCACAATACTGCCCTCTGTCCAAGTCCTACCCTGGAGGGTACGGGCCACTGACCATTGGCCAACACACGCACACACACACCATCGTCGTCTCGCTCAGCTGATAAAGGCCTTGTGTGTTCACACTCGGCACTAAAATGCATCTTGTGTGATCCGATCACAAGAGGACAGCTCCACATTAGAGATGAGCATTTATCAGATGTCATTGATGATTGAATTAGTATCAGACTAGTCCTGAATCCATCATTTAGTCTGTTCATTGTGTAAAAGAATGACAGATGAGCATCACTGATGAATTCAAATGTATTTCCCTCTTAATAGTGATCGCAATTTCCTCAGAGGTGCAGTTAAATGTGAGCTGGAAAGTAAAATCCGATCTCGAGTGCTCACTTGAGATGCATTTTAGACGAGTTGTGATGCTAGGAATCCACTGCAGTCGCTCTCAGCTGTGCGTGACCACAATCTTTGTGTGTGTGTGTATATCTATATATGTATATATAGATATCTATAGATAGATATATATATCTATATCTCTCTCTCTCTCTACGAGATAGTAGATCTGAACACGGCCAGTCAGGCTGTAGAGGAGAAGCTCCAGGCTGACGGAGGAGAGGAAGAGGACGGAGGGGATGAATAAAGGGAGCCTGTTGAGTTTTGAAGTGATGGCTGTGAGGAGAGTAACACAGGAGTGTCTGTGGTACCCGTCCGAAGGAAACGGAAGCTGCCCACTGTGTGCTTCTTCACACTTTCTTTAGCTCAGACTCTGTGCTGCCAGCAACCACTGTGGTTCAGTTGGTCGTGTGTTGAGGGTTGTGAGGTTATAGAAATGGATGAAAAAAGAAACCACCTGCTGCTTAGATTATCAAACCAGATCACACACTTCAACTTCCCCTTCCATTTCTTTCTGTCTTACTCCTCTGAACTATTTATTTTCTTGGGCACCGTATTATTCACCCTCTTATCAATGTCTGAGGAATGTTGCTGTGACTGAATGACATTGTTTAACGTGATTAAAGCATATCTTTCCCTTCCTCTTCGCTGCGTTTGTTTAATAACTCAACGGTCTCTGATATTGGCTCACTCCATGCTATATTTGAGAAGAGGCTGTTTTAATCACATCCACTGACACCTGTCTGTTCTCCGTGTGTTTTTCCAGGCCCCACACTCTGAGTGTTACTGAGGGCAGCAGCGATGTCGGGCTCCTACGATGGCTCCATGATCGATGTCTCCAGCGATAGCTTCTGGGAGGTGAGACGCATGAATTCCTTCACACCACCTGCCCCTAGACCCAGGGTCATCATTCTTCTGTCGTGTGTTGAGATGACGTTCACATCTGATGGACTTGGAATAAATCTAGTGATGTATCACAACTTGACCGCAACACTGCACTGTAACGCTGCTCTAAATGTGTTCAGTGTTTTCTAAATAAATAGATGTAGTGCTAGCCGTAGCTAACATTTTCTAGCTCCTTTTCAACTCTCTCTGTTGCTGGTTTTCAGGTTGGTAACTACAAACGATCGGTGAAGCGGGTCGATGATGGCAATCGGCTCTGTAATGATCTGATGAGCTGTCTTCATGAGCGGGCGCGTATTGAGAAGTCTTACGCACAGCAGCTGACAGAATGGGGAAAGCGCTGGCGGCAACTCATAGAAAAAGGTATTTTTCTAAAACGGATGTATTTTCCCATAATTCCTGAAGGCATGACTGTCACAGACCCTGACTGGTAGATATCTCTTTTCCTTCAGGCCCTCAGTATGGCACGTTGGAGGTGGCGTGGTCTGCCCTGTGCACGGAGGCGGAGAAGGTGAGCGAGCTCCACATGGAGGTGAAATCGGCACTGATGGGCGAAGACTACGAGAAGCTGAAGAACTGGCAGAGGGACTCCTACCACAAACAGATGATCGGAGGCTACAAAGAGACCAAAGAGGCTGATGACGGCTTCCGCAAGGCTCAGAAACCCTGGGCAAAGAAACTCAAAGAGGTGTGGCTCACTGGATACCAAAATAGTATGATGTGTATGCAGTATAATGTTTTAATCTATAAACAGCCAAGCAGCTACCACAAGCAAGTCATTTTCAAGTCACTGATTACAGCCATGACAATCAATTTTACCCTTCAGTTCACATGATTACATATTACTGACTCGCTAGCTGTTGTTTTGCCTCCGTGACTACCTGCTTGCTAAACAGAGCCGAACCACAGACGCAACCTCTTGATATTGAACAAGAAGCTATTGCCAAACGTCAGCCATCGTGTGCTAACTGTATCCTGTAGTTCTCTGACTGCCAGTAGAAGAGAAGGAAACACTGAGGCACTACAGGGAGGCTTCTTAGTTCAAAATCAGGTCAATGTATTTCCTACTACTGCTTTCATTTTAGAAACCTGTTTACTCGGCATTCCTTTCTGTTTCTGTGCACGAATATAAGAACGTGCACATCCAAGTATTTGTATGCTCAAAGTCACGAAATGTTTCGCAACCTCCAGCTTCCTTGCCCCCCATTTCCTGTGTGCGTGATGTCAGCAGTGGGTGGCGACATCCTGGCCTTGTCATTGAGCGGCGACAGAACAATGCAGTTTTGTAGCCCGAGTGGTTTATTGATCGACCAGACAGACGGGGACAAGTGGGTAGAGGGCAGAGAGGAAATTAGGCTAATTAACTGGTCTAGAGAGAGAGCAGCTGACGGGGGCAGTATGTCAATAATAGACACATACAGTCTAAACGGGATACAGTATTTAACTCTTAGTCCTCATGGGTTTTATTGGATTGACACACAACCGCCCGCTATATCAAATTAGGGAGGCTGCTCTCCTCTACTTATGACCTCATGGTTCGGTCACGTGACTGCTCTGGCCTCGGGCCCAATTACACCGGGCACAGCTCGAGACACTCTTCAGATAAAACCACAAGGGATGAGTTTGCATCCATAATTCATATCTGTTCGGAGTTTAAATATAAACAAAGTGATAGAGTAGATGGATGCGTCACATATCTCACTTATCAGGCGCCAGTGTTTCCATGCTGCCTCCCTCACGTGAGTTGGTAGGAGTTGGTTCACATTTGGTCTGCTCTGAGTCACCTTAAAAGTCTGCTGCTGTTGCCTGTATTTTAATTGATCCTTTGAATCTACAGATGGAGACAATGAAGAAGTCTTACCACTCTGCCTGTAAAGAAGAGAAGCTGGCAGCCAGCAGGGAGACCAACAGCAAACTGGAGAGCAACAACAACCCCGAAGCCCAAAAGAAGCTCCAGGAGAAGCTGGAGAAGTGTCAGCAGGAGGGCCAGAAGGTAGGGCTACCTTTGGAAATAGACCAGGTCGAGTGTCAAGATCGTGTTTTTATTGTGTCCGAATTGTCACCTCATTCCTCCTTTTCTCCCAGACTAAAGAACGCTATCAGAAATCCCTGGAGGAACTCGACAAGTTGACCCCTCAGTATATGGAGAACATGGAGCAGGTGTTTGAGCAGTGGCAGCAGTTTGAAGACACACGAATCTGCTTCTTCAGAGAGCTGCTGCTGGAGGTCAAACAGCACCTGGATCTCTCAACCAATCACAGGTCGGACACCAATCATTTAATGTCTGAATACTTAAATGTAGCAGCTCATGAACAAAGCTGTGAGAGACGCTTCTCACCTAGAAATATAATGTACAACATTGTCTCCATAGATTCCAGACGATCTACCAGACGCTGGAAGACACGGTCTCTGCTACTGATGCTGAAGATGACCTGAAATGGTTCCGGTCCAATCACGGCCCCGGCATGCCAATGAACTGGCCCCAGTTTGAGGTATTACAGCCTGGATTCATACTAATAAAAGAGCAGAAGATGGAGGAGAACTGTCCAGAGTAATAGGCTTTTTACATTATTTAGTGAGATAAATAATTACAGAAGAATTAGTTACAGTCCTTGCATACCTTGAAATGCTAGTCTTAAAGACTGGTGCTCTCCCAGGCCTAACTGTAGGAACCACCAGTAAAGAAAGAGGAGGAAATGGACTCGTACTGCTGAAAATACATCATGGGCAGTATTGCAATAGATCTTTACAATGTTACACGTAGCCCAAGCCGGAGTTAATGCCCAGTGTCATTTTTGTCATTGACGTATGCTGTTTGGCAGCAGGGGTGGAAGTAAAACTTTCTGAGGAATTTGCTTTAAGGCATCTTCCCAACAGGATGTGAAATAAGAAAAAGAGGACGCGAAAGCAAAGAAAGCTTAATGTGCTTGCAATGCTACAATTTACAGTTCTTTTGAGTGCTGTTGAAGGCATGGCTGTTAGGACGGGGCACTTTGTTCCACTTCCATCATCACCAGGCTGTTTGTCTTTCTGAGTAAAGCTTGGTTTTAGAAGGTCTTTTCTGTGACACGATACACACACACACACACACACACACGCACAACAAAAAAATGAGGCTCCAGCTTGGTAGATATCCAAATATTCTGCAAGTCACTGGCTCTTTAGTTCATGTTGTTTGTTAGAGAAGCAATCCCTAGAGTAATTAGCTGTTCCAAGTCATTTCTACGTTCACAAACTAATGTTTCTGCACTTTCAGTTTATGCCGCACAGCTTTAGGCTTTGACTGTGTGGTCCACTTTAACCCTTTTCCACACCTACTTCCCTTTCCTCATGTCTGACAGAATTTGGACTGGTCCCATCCTCGCTCCTTTAGAAGAAGGTCCATTTTAGTGAGTTCTGCATGGGAGGGCTGTTCTTTTTCACAACAGCCAAGGGGGGGGGGATCCTTTTTTTTCCAATAACATGCTCTCTCCTTACTCCTTCTATCTCTGTGTGTGGTTGAGGTGGTTCGTGTCAAGTTTCAAAGGATATTAAGACACATGTGCACTTGGTACATGCAGACACCACAGCATTGAAGTATGTGGACATATCCTCCTCTGTTCCCTTTACATACCCTTTCCTGGATATCTGAACTTCTAGAATGACTCTTTACCACTAATACCACTGCTCAGACTCTCTGTTCTTTCTAACCCTTGAACGCTGACCCGTCTGTGGCCCTTCCAGTCTTCCTTCTGTCCATGTGAACCCTGCAGTACGTCACCATGATGCCACCATGGCTCAGCAATGTCTCAGGGAACATGAGCCAGACGGGAAGACCTGATGTACCAGAGGGTCAGACAGGGACTAGAAATGAAACCAGTCCGTTTGTGGGCCAAAAAAATAAAATATATGTGTATAAAAACTTTCTTTTCTATAACTGTGTTGCTGTTATGGTCTCTTTTGCTCCACTCTCGCTGGTTAGCCTCTGGTGGAGGGGAGACTCCTCGGTGCTGTGTTTCGTTCAACAGGTGATGGATTCTGTACTTGGTTGTGTGTCTCATCTTATCAGGCCTACACTGTGCTGTATAAACACTCATCATGCATGTACAGTTTCCCAGGTCTGTGTCACGGCCTGTGAAATGTTTCACAGATCTCTGGACTGTTGAAGTGTGTATGTGTATAGTGCCGTGTACATTCCTGTGACTTCATCTCCCACTTTTTCTAGCTGTGAAGGCATGTTTTCAACCAAACAGTAATACTTAGACTCTAATGTGTGTGTGTGTGTGTGTGTGTGTGTGTGTGTGTGTGTGTGTCTACCAGGACTGGTCCATAGACCTGAACCGAACCCTCAGCAGACGAGAAAAGAAAAAGCCATCAGAGGGCGTCACACTGACCGGCATCAGTTCAACTGGGTCAGACCAGCATGTCCAGCCTGCCAAGACCATCAGCAGGTAGATATCTGATCAGATATTTCTGTCTCTAACACACACACACGGTTAACTGAGCAAGTGTTCATAACGTACACACGCACACAAAAAACACACTCACTCACTCCCTGTCTTCCTCATCCAAACCCCCCGACATCAGAGATAATCCAGCGCACCACACATGGCGTTTTCCTCTTCAGGAATGCTTGTAAAGCGTTGCATGAGGGAAGCTCCGGGAGTGACGTCTAGGTGTACTACAGCCGTCTCTGTGGCAACAGTAAACACTTTGTCAGAGTTTGTTGGGAAATAATTCATCCCCGCGAGACTCGAGTCGGCTGGTACATAGTTGAAAGCGAGCCAAAAAAAAGTAATGTGAAAATACATCAAACTCACACACGGAGAGATTTTTATAGCATCAATATTACTGGGAAGTTCAAAGGCCGGTTTAGTGAAACTTTGATTTGGCAAGTTTGCGATTAAAGGGAAAGAATGTTCAACATGTTTTCATGAGAGAAAAAGAGGAGTTCACAGGCTTGTTTGAGACTGCTCTGCGAAGGGTTTAGAGGCTCTCCGTGTTTGATTGGCAGTCTTTAATAGCATGATGTAATCTTTTTAAGAGGAGATAAGATAAGAACTTAGCTTGTCCCTGCGGTGAAATCTGTCTCTTGTGTTGTGGCAACAGCACCAAGGACATAACAGTGGCTCATAGAAACGACAACAAACATCTGATTTAGAGACGAACTTCTCATGCGTCCATCATCACAGTGCAAAAGCAAATAACAGTTTTGCATGGATGAGTAAGTTGCTATGTGTGTTGAATCTATTGTTCCGAATTTAAAGTGAGGTTAGTCGTGATTATCCTGTCCTGTGTTCTGGCAACTCTTCGGTAGGAAGCGGTGTGTATGCAGGATTCAGAGAGCACTGAGGAGTCAACAGAGGGAATGTCGGGCACGGAAAGCATTTGACCCCTGAACTTGAGACTGTTGACTTGACTCTCCCCCATCCAGCATTTACAGCACATTGTTTTCCTCTTCATTTCCTTCATAATTGGGTGTGACTGTAGTTTAAGTAGTTTATTATCGGCATGATAAAAACAAGCCGTCATTTGTATCACATATTTGCCTTTTTTAGATCGTCGGAAGCATCAATGAACATTGTATGACGGTACTAGCTCTTTGAATACATTGAATCGTAGCTGTAAAGGTTTGTTTGTTGACTGGAACCGTCCAAAGTTACATTGTGCCCGACGGTGTTTGGTGTAATAACTCCTCAGTGAGCGTGGCTATGCAAACAAAGGCGTTCACATTTCTCCGCTTCACACACTCTGCTGATAGCCAGAGCTGTTCACGGTCCAGTAACTCGGTAAACAGGGAGTAGAAACCCTGTGTTTCCTCTGATACAGGTGGAGGGCTGTTGCAAGGTTTGTTCCTTGATGCGGAAAAGTGACAATAGGAGGAAGTAAACAGCCGTCATGTGACTTCTTCAGAGAGATTTAGCACCTACACGAACCAGAGCTGACAATTAAGTGTTTGCTGTGTCGCTAGAAAAGTGTCTTATTGATGTTTTTATAGCTTTGTAATAATTAGGATTTCCTTTTTGTCCTATAAGCAGTGGCACTCAAGTCAAAACAAGCAAAACTGATTGTACAACCTTGTTGATGTTACTCAGGTTCTTTATTGCACAGAACTACAATCATTTCTGGGTCATCTATCTAGTGAAACAAAGCCACACTTTACTGTTCACTAAGCTCCTTGGCTCCTTGGCCTTGTAGGTGACGCCCACTACCGTAGGAAGTACACTCGTTAGCTGGGTATGCAAACATGTGCGGCGTACATTTAAGCATGTCTGCAGGCCGTGTATGTCACAGGTGTGTCTGTGTGTGTGTGCAATGCAACAACCGATCTCTCACTGTGTCCCATGCTGTCAGCCTGACTGTGCCCACTAACACAGCGCCAGTGGGCTCAAACCCCTTTGATGAAGAAGACGAAGAAGATGTGGAGGAGATGGAGGAGGAGGAGGAGGAGACGGCCGTGGAGCAGCAGACCACAGTCAACCACATCAGTGTGAATAAAGAGGAAATAAAAACGTTGGTGAACAGAAGAGAAAACACTCCCAAACAACCTCTCCTGACCCTTTTTTCTTGTTTCTATCTTTGTTGTCACGGAATCGCCGATCGTGCCGCGTCTCTTTTCGCGCCGTTTCTTTGTCTCGGTTACTTTGATCCCTTCTTCCTTACGTCCCTCTCTCCTCCCTCAGGTGGCAGCTTGTTGTGTTGCTCTGCATGGTCGCTGGAACGCTGGCACATAACGCCAATACGTGTCTGTCCTTCTCACTTCTTACAGTGCCGTGTCTTGCAGAACATTACATGTCATGTGCATGGGGGGGCCCATGCCTCTGGGAAATGTCTTACAGTCAGATCTGAATATGGACACACTTATACACACGTGTGTACGATTGGTCTGTAGTATCAGTTTTCTCACTATTGCCTGAAAATGTACATGCTGTCTAACTACAAGTGTACATAAAACCAGTTTCTCAATTCTAGACACTGGGGACAGGTCTGACTGTAAATACTTTATATTTGCTGGTGTGTGTTTATTGTTTTTTCCACTTATAACATTGTCGGAGCCAAGTTCTTTCTGGTGTTTAGGTGGCTCCCTCTGTTGGCCGTTTGGGTTAAACTCCAATCATGCCTTCACAACACTGATTTGTCTTGCTTGTTCTCATGTTTGCTGTATTTTTCTGCGTCTCTTCATGTGTGGTCATGTTGTTTTGTTGCATTGTGTGCCCTCTCACTTGAAGCTGTTTATCTTAAAGTGGCATCAAAGAGACTTTGTCATGCTGCCCGAACCAAACGCTTGCTTTGTAGCATTGATGCTGAAAGTAAGCATGTTTTTGCACTAAATGGAAAAGGAGTTTTCAGGATGAATCGCAAAGCTGTCGCTGGATATTGAAATGCACTTTTGGCTTTTTGTGTGTTCGACTTAACTGTACTTGGTGTTACATTTATCTTTCTCGCTTTTTCTAACTTTGAATTTTGGTCCCTGCTTCTGCCTGGCATGCTGGATTGTCCCGTCGATGCGTAAAGGCCCCGAGATGAACGTAAAAACACATTTCTCTAACTGTCTCTTTTGTCCGTCCAGTGCGAGCAGTACGGAGAAGACTCCGGACTGGTCGGATGAAGACACGGGTGGTAACCCCTTCTCCACCAACGGTGAAGGGAATCCATTCGAAGACGAGCCGGCTTCTCCGGTCGTATCAGTGGCTGTCAGAGCCCTCTATGACTACGATGGACAGGAGCAGGACGAGCTCACCTTTAAAGCAGGTACGTGGTGTGAAAGACTCCAAAACAACAGCAAACGTTTTGACAAGTCTGTCGGATCCCAGTCGGGTTTTTGCAATACAAATATTCATCCCTTCCTCCTCCTCCCTCCAGGGGAAGAACTAACCAAAGTTGGAGAAGAAGATGATCAGGGTTGGTGCAAAGGCCGGCTTAAGGATGGAAAGACCGGCCTCTATCCTGCTAACTATGTGGAAGACATCCAGTAATAACTTATCACAAATTAACAAATGTGAAGAAAGAAGAAAGTGGTTTGTTTTGAATCGACAGTGCGGCTGGAAACGAGAACACACTCTGCCTTATTTTTAACCCTTTTTCTCCCCGACTGGTGTCGGAGAAGAGAAGTTGCAGATTATTAAAGGACCACTTGAGATGTTACTTTTCACGGATCGACAGTTCAAAGATGGGAAATCGAAAACAAGTTTCCAGACGATTCCAGGCGAAGATCACAGAGAAATATGGCCGTCAGTGTAAGATATGTTATGTTACTTAGAATCCCATTTACGCTGTTACAAAAATAATAGCCTTTCAAGTATATATTAGATAAAAAAATAAATGTATGTGTGAATTTATATATTGTTTAAACGAAACACTGGGATGACACCGACAAATCGTCTTGCGATGTTACATGCAGCCTTAATATGCAAGCCACTATGGGTTCTTTAAGGGAGATGACTCTTTAGTAAACATAATTATCTGTTTTAGGTTTGAACCCATTTGTACCTGCTAGAATCCAGTCCATAACTGTTCATTGTTGGATGTTTCTTTGACAAACTAGGCCCTTGTGTTGAGATTGGTGTGACAGGTTTGACCTGATTCTTTTTAATTTGTGTTTAAATTGTTCATTCCTTTTCAGGGTTCTGTATTTTCCATTCAGTTCATTAACTGTTCTGGTTATTTTATAAGGAATGATCAAATCAATTGGAGCCTTATGCCGATGGGTTGGTTCCTCTAGTCATTGCAATTGAATGTACATTCACTGATTGTATTTTATCACTTTTGATTGTTCAGTTTTGCTGATGTTAGGTTATTTCTTGTTCTGACCCGGAACAAACTGTCCTGAAGCTCCACACGGAAAACAATCTCTGTTCTTTCTGTTGATTGTAGATTGTAATAGTATATATGGGTTATTTTTCATCCAACACTGAAAGTTTTTCACAAACGTTTATCACACTTGAATGGTTTTGTAATTTCTCTTACTTCTTGTTAAATGTCAAGTTGTGGGAGAATATATTTTAAGTGTTTTTTGGGGGGGGACATATATTACAATTCATAGCAATAAAACTGCAGACAAGTGTGGCATTACACATACGTGCATGTAAATAGCCTGGACGAAAAATATTAGAACAAATTAAGCATCGATATCGGATGTAGTTTGAAATTGATTGTTAATTTATGATGCCACAAGTGCTTTTGTTCTACTCTTGTTAGAATGTGACTGAGAATTAGTTTGTATGGTAATTGTATGTTTTATGGCAAATATCCCTTGAATCTGTTATTTTGATATATTTGTAAATATGATTATTTTTCCCATCACAGAGGGCCATATTCATTGAATTAATCAACAAATATGTGAATAATTGTTTCCCTTAGTAGCTATGATATGAGTGGATCTACCTGATTTAATTACCTGTATACATATGTTTGAATCAAGTATTTTGTCAGCTTGTATTTTCTGCAAGCTCTAAATTCGTTGCCCAGTGTATCGATGAAATAAGCGAGGGGGGGGAAAGCTATTTGATGCCTTTAACTGCAGCACAAGAAGATGAGTTATGTTGTCGATAATGGTGGTGAGAAAGGAGACATTTGCCATGTTTTCAGGGCATGCTGACGTCAAAACGCAGCAACAGCTGTACTTGCACAGTAAGGTTTGTAAATGTTGTCCCACGACATAATAAATGAATTTATTGGAAACAAAATGTTGCTTTTGTCTTAAGTAGTGATATTTCTATTTGTTAAACTTCAACTTATGATGTTGAGGTATTTACTGGATGTAAAAAGAGCTTCATCTTTTTATGTGTGTTAAATTTGAATATAGTTACTTTAATTGTTAACATCAGTAGTTCAGTTGTACTGTTTTTTGTTTGTAGTGTCCTGCCCAACTCGTAAAGGGTCTTATGATTTACATGTTAGTGTCCCATATTTTGGGAATAATTAGTTACCAAAGTTACCCCAAAAAATTACCATAAGTATGTATTTTCATTTTGGTGCAAGATCACGTTCATTGTAGGGATATGGATTCCTCTAAACATATTGGCTGATGCAGAAAGTTTAATTGAATGAATTCAAAGTTGATGCAGCCCACTCAAGCTTATCTATGGGTTAAATAAACCAACAGTAATTCAATTTATATCAAATGTATTTAAACATAAAAAAGAACGAAAAGTGCTTTTACTTGACTAGATGGATACTCGGCGTCAAATGTATAGGTCAACTACATTACCCAGAAGCCCCTGCTACAATAACACAACCACGGGTCACTTTTATCCAATCACGGCTCGACCGTGATGTTGCCCTATTGACGTGTCGTATTCGGTCGCTATTGAGGAAAACACGGGGCTGATTTTCATGCCACACAACCGCGTCCGTCTCACCGTCAGTTGTTTCCAACAGATAGAACAATGTCAGAGCCCAGCAAGCAGGATATCTCTGCTATTTTTAAGCGACTCCGCGCGGTTCCTACGAACAAGGTGAGAGTTTCAAACGGCGGACGGTTTAGCTACTCTTTAAACGAGGAAGTGGAGTCAGACTATCTGACACGTCGCACTTGGAGAAAACGCAAAAGCTAGCTTTACTTTCATCGGCTTAATGTGGCACTTAGCTGCTACGTGTCGTGTTTAAAATCAATCGGTGTTGTTGAAGTGCGCCGTGGTGACATTTGAAGGGTGTTTTCTGTCAGAAAACGTGTGATCTGTGACCAGATGTTACGTTAGCTAAGTGGTTGACAGCCTAGCTAACGCTACATTTGGACAGTTCAACCTTAAGCTAGCTATGTTTGTTAAGGCTTTAAGCCCTCCGACGACTTGGAGATGTAACACTGCAGTGCATACATCCTGAATTACGCAATGAAACTGTGTTTTAAGAGGTAATCTCGTTGCGAAATTCAACCCACTGCACCAACAGCTGTTTGAATCAGCAGCCCGATGCATGCACAGGGAACGTGCACTTCAGACCTTTATGGTTACAACCACATTGTTTACTTACACTTTTTCTATTTACATTTTGAACGTGTGGTCTGCAACGAGGAGGGAGTTTAAACACAACGTCTTAGCCTGTTTATTTAAAATATCAATTCACTCTGTTTATACATTAACATTATTCTTGTGTGTCTCCTCCTGTGCTCTCTTCTTCCTCCCAGGCTTGCTTTGACTGCTCGGCTAAAAACCCCAGCTGGGCCAGCATCACCTACGGTGTGTTCCTGTGTATAGACTGCTCTGGGACACACAGGTCTCTTGGTGTGCACCTGACCTTTATCAGGTAATACAAATAATCTAGTGATGAAAACACAAAAGCACACGATTGCACAAGATTATTAGTATGAGTAGAAAAATCCAGACTAGAGTCGGATGCGAGGGGGAGAATTGTTGTGGAACCTGAGATGCTGTTTGTCCCTCTGTGTTCACACAGGTCCACTGAGCTGGATTTCAATTGGTCGTGGTATCAGCTCAGATGTATGCAAGTGGGAGGCAATGCCAATGCGGTCAGTACCTGAAGGCGGCGCGTATAGGCACGCTGTCGACAGATTTTAAAGCCAGCATTGCTTTACACTCGCGTTATTTAACTCGAGCGTCGTCTTTCCCCGTGTCTGCAGTTTTCATTTTTCAGTCAACAAGGATGCACAACCAACGCTGCCAACACCAAGTACAACAGCCGGGCTGCTAACCAGTACAGAGAGAAGATAAAGAATTTAGCCACACAAGCGACCAGACGCCATGGCACCGAGGTAATGCTGACATAGTGGTTTATTGTCTTAAAACCCCCTATGCTTGCAGGTTGCTTCAATGTTTGGACGGGAGCCAGAATGAAAGAATCAGATAAAAAACAAACTTTGATTTCCTGTCTAGTTCCTCTTTGCTTATCACACTTTGTATTAATTCTCCTGTATCTTTAAGTGCACAGCTGTATCAGTTTTACTGCTCTTCTTCTGTCCAGTTGTGGCTCGACAGTCAGGCTCCTCTCTCCCCGACGACACCAGACGACAAGCAGCTGGACTTCTTCAGTCTGCATTCACAGGTATAGAAGTGTGATGTCTGCTTGTTGGATACCTATTTAGAGTGACAACGGATTAATAATTTCGCCACGTGTGTCTCTTTCATGCCCAGACTCTTCCTGACAATTTGAACATGCCCAAATCGTATCTCAGCTCCTCCACATCAGAGAAGCCTTTAACCAGGGAAACGGAGGAAGACAGTAACGGTATTCACAAAATGCAAAGATGCACTTGTTGTATTTATCTCAATGCCATTTAATTTGGCTCATCACATGTATATTAATCCTCTTTAGGTAATCTAGATGAGGGTCCTAGTGTGGACATGCTGAGTGCTTCTCCAAAAGCAAATCCAGGTTGGTGTATATTCGTCACTTTTAGGATTTTCGACCTTTGTTTTTCCATCTGATTTATTCCTAAACTGTCGGAGATGTAACTTTACTGTTCCTCAATCTCTCCAGACCCCTCCTCTCTTCTTAGGAAGAAGCCAACTGCCGCCAAGAAAACGGTATGTACTCATCCTAACTTTCGGTCGAACAGTACGCGTTGTCGTAAGTATGTTTGTTCACAGACTTTGCATTCATATCGTGTTTTGTAAAAACGTGTCTGCCTGTAGTTGGCCTCTAAGAAGGGCGGTCTGGGCGCTCAGAAGGTTAGCAGCAAGAGCTTCTCAGAGCTGGAGAAGAAGGCTCAAGCTGCCGACAAGCTCAGAGAGAAAGACGGCGACACCGGTGCTGACAAGAACTACCAGCCCGAGGAATCCATGTGAGTTTCTTTGTCTTTCTTTATCGTCTTTGACGTGTTCCTACCTTTACTTTGTTGCTGTATTCTCCCTCTGTTTTGTCATTCCTTAAACTCGCCTCCCTTCCCCCCCCCCCCAGCTCTCCATCTCTGCGACTGGCCTGTAAAGATTTCGAGCAGCAGAGGAAAATGGAGGAGAAGAAGTTGAAGGGATTAGAGGGGAATAAGAAAGTGCAAGCCGAGAGACTGGGCATGGGTATGGGCATGAGGAGGTATGATGATGAAGAGACTAGTGACCCTTTTGCTGATAGATCTGTATCTTAGAGTTCCCATGTAAACCTAAACCTAAAATCAAATGTATTAAGAATACAATGAAGTACAATCGGCTCTGTTTTGTGCTTTAAAGCCAGACTGATATAAGTGCTTGTAAAGCTTTTTTTTTTTTTTCTCAGATCAAGGACAATAATGAACATTTTGAGTGAAGTGTACTTTACAGTTCTGTTCTTCTGTATTTATAGGCGGTGTACTGTCTAGGCATTATTTTGGGTGCCTTGAGAAGCGTTCTAATCCTCCATGAAAACGTGTGGTAACCTTTACCCTCTCTCCTCTGTTAGTGGAGTGTCTCACTCTGTGACGTCAGACATGCACATCATCCAGCAGGAGAGTCCGATGGGAAAGAAGACCACCAAAGGACGTCGGTTCACGGAGGATGATGAGGACGAAGGGTCCTTCAGCGCCAAGTCAGATACATATTATTTACTATTACTAGTTTATTAATGTTTGTCGGCTTCATTTAGTTTTTTTTTTTATTATTCTGATTTTGTAAGTATCACATTTTCATCTGCCATTATTCTTCAGGGTCTTGTCCCGGTTTGAGGATCAAACAGAAACCTCCGATAGCTTCTCCTCGAGGTGGGATGATAAAGGGGAGGAAGGAGGCTGGATGAAGGAGAGCAAGAAACCAGAGCCGGACTTCTTCTTGAGCTCCACTATAACATCGCTGAATGACAGGTACGTTAAAACAGTTTTAATGTAATGTTCCTCCCGTCACTGCAACAGAGGAGTCATGACGTTTTGGCTACTTATTGTTGCTTGAGACAGTCGGAACTTTTGTTTGTTATTAGACCCACGGGCAGAAGAAAACCTGAAGCCGTCCCAGACACCGGAGAAGCTCAGAAAAAGTTCGGCGGTGACGTGAAATCCATCTCTTCTGACACGTACTTTGGAAAGCGAGATAACTCCGAGGTACAAAATGAAGACATGCATCCTACCCGTCCCACATGTTGTGTATACATTGTGTTGTACTGTGTGATTTTTGTGTTTATATTTCTTTTCTTTTCTTTTAGTACGAGGCCAAAACACGACTGGAAAGATATTCTGGGAGTTCCGCTATAAGTTCAGCAGACCTGTTTGATGATCCAAAGAAACAAACTGGTGAGAAACAACTCTCTGTTTTGGGAACTTTGTAACCAAGACTCACAAAATGTCTGCAAGCGGGCAACAATCACTTCAATAGTCTAGTCGTATGTCACTGCACTCACAATGTTTCCTCAGGTTGAGGTCACTAGTTATGTCAGTGTTCTCTGTACTTTCTATCTTACAGCATACGACAGAACCCAATAATCAGGCTTAAAATGATTGCCTCATACCATTAAATGAATGTTTATATTTGTCTTTCTGCTCGTCTTGCGCACACAGCGAGTTCGTACCGTCTGACCAACGTGCTGCCCAGTGCTCCCGACATGTCGCAGCTCAAACTGGGAGTTCGCTCTGTCGCAGGAAAACTCTCCGTCATGGCCAGCGGCGTAGTCAGCTCAATTCAGGTGGGTCAGAAATACGCCCCTTGACTCAAGATCGTATGAACATCTTGTCTGACAAAACATAAGTTCTAATATTGTTTATTTTGTTTTTTTTCCAGGATCACTACAGCACCTGAGTCCTGGTGCGCCTCCTCTTGGATTCAGCGCCCTAATACTCGTCCTCTGTTCAACAGAGTCACATACGTTTCCCAGTGGACTGGTGGTCGCTCCTACTGGGAGCTAAAGAGGTGCGATGGGCAAATCTGTTCCACGAAGGCATCCAAATTGACGCCCTGTATACATCTATATCTAGTTTTTTATTAGGTGGTGTACATACAACAGCTGTTTGAATCGCGAGGATCAAGCACAATATTTTCAGTGGAAGTAACGTTCCCCTGCAGGCTTCTTGAAGGGAGACGTCTGTGTACAGTTCACTGATGAAGTTTTAGTTTGCGGTTTATTGATTGGTTCGCGTTGAGGTCTTTGGGGGTTTAAATATTTAGAAGTATTATATGTAGCACAGGGTTTATGGAGTTTTGAAGGATGGATTTGCATTTTGATTCCTTTTTAGTTGATGAGGTAAAAAATAAATAAAACAAAACAGTGGAGAAAATTCAGTTTGTTTTTAATTGGTCTTGCTCATCACAAGCACTCTGTGTTGTGCTGTTTTGCACATTCCCACGGGTTTGAAAGTGTCCTTTCTGTCCTCAAAGTGCACTTATATTTGCTCCTCCACAGACGGGACCAAACCCTGATAAAGAGGCCGTAGGGGACCAGATATATATATATTTCTTTAGTCAGGCATACTTTCAGTTGTATGAACTGAAATTGGCCTCATTAGCACAGAAGCTTCATTATCTTGTGAATTATGTTTTTTTGTGTTTTTTTTTTTTTCGTGGGCAGAGCATCAGTTATTCTAAAAGGACAAGATGACATGAAACCTAAGCAGCTATGGAAAACTGAGTATAAAGGAAAAGTTTGACATTTTTGGGAAATATACTCATTCGCTTTCTCGCCAAGAGAATGTTGAGAAGACTGACAACACTCTCATATCTGTCGCGTAGCTTAGCATAACGACTGGGAACAGGGGGGAACAGCTAGCCTGGCTCTGTCTGAAGTCTTTCTAACAAGTTTGGCTTTTTGTTTGGATTAAACAAATAAGATATAACTATGCTAAGCTGGCTGGCTGTAGCCGTATATCTATGAACTGAAATGAGTGTTACCAATCTTCTCATCTAATTCTATTCTTTAAGCAATCTGCCTACTAGCATCATGATGATCCTACACCATGATGAGCCTGCACCATGCAGGTCGGTTGCACTATGCGTTTTTGTCTCAATCCTGTTGCTTTGAATCAGACACTTTTAAGACGTCTCAATCGATAACGTGGTCAACATTAGAACCTGTAGATTCATGAATTTGTGACGGGTGCCTTTTGGTGATGTTTTGGTATTAATTTCTAGATGTTTTTTTGTTGGTAGTTGTGTTTACATGTCTGCTATAACTTTCCATGTTGCCCCCCTTAAATTGAACTGCACACACTAAAGGCTCTTGACTAGAATCTCCTGATGTGGTGGGACCTCTTTGTAGCTTTCAGGCCCCCGTTGTACAGCAACACACACACACACACACATGTATATCTATATATATATATAGATATATATGTCAATATGAATGTAAACAATCCCTTTAAAGCCCTCTTTCTTTTTTGTTTATTGCTGTAACATACTGCCAAGGTTCAGGTTCCATCTTTAATTCTGAGCTGGTAATTGGGTGTGATTTTGGATTTGACATTTAAAAGCAATAGAAGAACCGGTTGATGTCCGTTCATGGCTCTGATATGGACGAACTACGGCTTTAGCGTGAGCCTGTAGTGTATTATTATTATTTAGGTAGAGTTGTGCCATGATGCCGAAAAGGCTTCTTCAGATATCTAATCGTGGACTAGAGTTTATAAATCCCTGATCGGCGACAGGATGATTATATTACTGAGCGATTTCGGTACTGTTTCTCCTTCTCAGGAGTTTGATTGGAGTTGTTCAATAAGGAACACTGAAAGACAAAGTCATAGATCCTTCAATGACCAAACTATTTGTTTACTCCATCACTCTATGCCTTAGTCCAAAGATCTCTGATTAACGCGCCCTCGTATTGCAATATTGTGGAGTCGTCTGGTTACCGGTTTGCACATTGTTTGTTAGAAATTGCATGTGGCAGCTTTTGCTTGAATGTACTGTATTTACAATTGAACCGTTGCCTCTCAAGTTGATGTTGCATCCACGTTAGACTTAAATTTTTTGTTGATCTTTGTAAGATTGTTTGTCTTCTGCCCGTTTAATATTGTTAAATGTTACGTAAGCGAATAGTAGCTTGTGTAAGTTGCATGACCCTTGTAGATGATACACGCTGACACATCGTCTGTTGGGGCCCTAATAAATAACGCTAGAGTAACAGAACCGTTCAATAACAACTGTATAGAACTGCTACATGCAATGATGTATAGGGCTTTGAATTACCGTTTCTAGAAAGCTACAGATAATCAAGTTTTGACATATTTTGACACTCAAAATGTAAGTAAGATTTTTTGAAACATGCCAAATAAATGGCTTGTGCCGAAGCTCTCCTACCTGGTCATTTATTTGCCAACACTGCACAGACACTCTGTTTGATTGACTGATAGCAAAAACAATTTAAATGTTTCTAAACCCCCAAAATAGTCTATTTACAGTCAAATAAAACAGGGATTATTAGCAGATCCACACATTGGAGAAGCTAAATTACTTAAACGGTTGATCAATTATGTAAATTGTCGCTTATCAATTCTCTATCCGATGTCGAATCAATTAATCGATTAGTTGTTTCAGCTTCTATCTAACATTAATCCAGCATGGCTCCCTTCAGGACCAATGCTGGGAGCCGCTTACGTGGCTGGCTGAGGCGTTTACGGTGCTTAGTACGCTGTCGTAACTATGAAAGTTAAAATTCGAACTCCGTTTATGTTTTAAAGCATAGTTTTTACCATGAAAAAATATATAATTTTGTTGAAAACCATTGGGTTGCTTGAGGTAACAGACAACATATCCAAACAATGGCTAAATTTAACCGTTTTTTTGTGTTTTAATTTAACAATTCTGTTAATGGTTGTATTTACGACTTTAAGTGGAGGACGTGAAGGCGGCATTTTCCCAAGGAACAGGGAAAAGCGAAAGGATTGTTTTTTTTATCGGTAACCGTCGTTAATTACACACTTCTTACGTTACTTTAGCGTCCCACACTATGACCGTATCTGTGGGAGACGTGTTGTTTTACTCTGCAGCGTAACTAATAGCTGGTTGTGACTTGTTTGTACCGTTAGGGCCTGCTGAATTCATTCAGAGTAAAAGCTGCTAATAGTGCGCCGGGGTGTTAAAATGCGTACCGAGTTCAAACAAAGGAAGAAGTCACAAAAACAAAGCGACGAAGCCGCCGAAACGTCGGATGCAAACTGCAAAGATGAAATGCATAAAGCCAAGATGCAAGCTCGAAACAACGCAGGAGTGAATAAAACGTCTATAATGTGCTTATTGTCGCTTGCAGCGTGCGGAGCTCTGAGTTGGTAAGTCATCAGCAACATCTGCATCAACGTGATAAATGTTTTTATTTCTTTCTCTCTACTAAAGTGTTTGTGTTTCTCTTGGTTTCAGGGTGGTGCTGCAACAGAATGAGAGGTTTTCCCAAATTGAAGAAAAGTACAAATCTTTACACGGAAAGACTTCGAGTCTGTTCGACATGGAGGAAGAAGTCCTGAAGGTGTCTGAGAAGGTACGTTTGACGCCCTGTATTCATCATATAAATACACAGTGAACATGCTTCTGAGGATGGAGCTTTAAAGGGTCAATTCACCCAAATTACACCCTAAAAAAGAATGAACCCCATGCAGAACGTGATTTGGTGGTTTTAATGTGGTTTAGTGAGAAGGGAAACGAGTACAGTGAGTAACCCGGGGGTTCAGGAGATCAAATTTGAGGGTGTGTATAGTAAGGGGTCACAGGTCAAGAGGGTTGATCTGTGACTAGGGTTTGTGAACTACTTATGCAACCCTCCGCAAGCTTTACTTTGTTTGTTTTTTGAAAACTGAAGAAAAACTCCTGTCAGCTGAGCAAAACTTGTCTTTGTTGCATCCCCTTACATCTCTAGTATCCACATTTATGTGCTCTTCCAACACTTTCTATCTTTCATGCTTCACTTCTATTGCAAACACTACCGTTGTGTGTGTGTGTGTGTGTGTGCATGCTCATTGTTTCTTGCTAACATATGAATACTGAGGACCATAGAGCTCCCACAGAAACAGCCCTCCTGTTTTGTGTTGCGGCCGCAGCTCGCCGCCTCTGAAGACGACCTACAGGAGGCGCTCTCCGCCGTCTCCTTGGCAGTGCGACTCGAACGGGACATCTCCACCCTCCACGCCGATGTCATGTCGATGCAGGCCGACGAGAACTCCGCCTCTCGGGACCTGCAGACAGTCAACGCCCACTTCCTGAACGTGACGGAGACGTGGCAGGAGCGCCTGGCTGCCATCGCCTCCGACCTGGCCGCCCTGAAGGCCGAGTCTCGGGAGGCCCACGCCGGAGCCACGGGGCGGGTGAACGAGGCCGAGCGGAGGGGCCGGTCGCTGGCCGAGAGGTTGGAGGAGCTGGAGGACAGCACCAGGAGGAACGCCCGAGCTCTGGAGCGCACAGAGGGAGACGACACCCAGCGGACGCAGGATCATCTGGACTGGAACACCAAGCAGATCCACAAGCTGGAGGAGCAGATCGGCAGCCTGACCAAGAGGGAGGCCGAGCTCGGCACCCAGCTCAAGGAGCACATTCCCCGGGCGCAGCAGTGTGAGGAGCACCTGCCCCAGGTGGAGGAGGCGGTGCGCTCCATCTTGAGGCTGACGGGGGATCTCAGCGGGGCGGAGAAGCGCCTGGAGGAGGTGACGTTACAGGTGTTCGGGACCGAGGACAGCATGCTTAAAGCACTCAACGAAATCCTGGAGATCAGACAGGAGCTGGACACCCTGCAGGCTCAAAACAGCATCCTCAGGATGAAGAACGAGCTGTCCGTGGTTAAAGAGGCGGTCCGTGAACTCACCATGGTGCTGCGGGGGGGCGCAGACGACAGCCAGAAGGACCCTGACGCTCTGGAGGAAGAAGGATGGAATGAGGAAGAGGAGGAGGAGGAGGAGTGGGGAAAAGACAACAAGGATGAGATGACTCAACTTCTATATGATGACCTCACTGAATGATGTCATTGTTTTGATCCAATAAGGAGGCGTTGTATCTTACTTTTATCTGTAAAAAACTATCAAAGTCCAGTATTCATGTTTTTCTAAATGTGTACCTCAGTTAAATGTCAGAAAATGGTGACCATAGTTACATAAACGTTCCATGATTTCAACATGAACTCTGGTGTACATGCACTGTATTATACGATGAAGAATATTTATTTTAATATTTGTTCAATGTGGAGTGACACATTTTAGGTTTCTTTTGTAATGAATAAAACATGCCCAAATATATGAAAATATCTGTGCCGCTCTTTCCATATGAAACTACATTGATTAATCTGATCGACACAAAAACTATTTGGTTTGTTGTTTTACAGTAGTAAACTGTATATTTTTCGGACTGTTTGGGGGAAAATACTACATTTTTCACAATTCCTGCCATTTTTTTTTTGATGAAACAATTCAATGATGAATCCAGAAAATATCCTTTGAATATTTTTTTTGTAGATGTGTAACAAGTCTTGATATTTTTGACGACTTTCCATCTGATTTTAGTTTCACCTGTTGAAAACATGGCAATTATTTCATCATTGAACTCATTTAATAAAATCACCTTTTTTTTTTTTTTTTTTTAACTGAAGAGGTTGTATTTGTATTAAATCCTCTTGTTTCTCTCCTGTGTTTGTTCATAAAGGATAAATAACCTGAAATGATGTCTTGTAACGTGTGATCGCTTTGAATACCCGTCACCCCCTGAACACACAAACTGTTTCCGTCCTGTTTCAGTGTAAGAGCGTCCAGCTGATGCTGGAGGGCCTCGGGGGTGAGCGGGGGGCTCTGCGGCCCCGGCTGGAGGCTTTGGAGCAGGACGTGAGCCGGCTGGAGGAGTGGTCCTCTGGGCTGAATGAGAAACGAGCTCAGCTTCAGACCAGCCAGACGTCACTGAAGGACGCCGTGGGACAGATCGAAGAGCGCACCTCGGCCATCGCAACGGACTTTGCCAACAAGGTGTGTCGGATTGTTTTAATGTATTGCCCAAGTAGACGATTTCATCAATTGTAAAAAACATAGTTTTTTCGTATTGTATTCCGGGAATGGGTGTCTGAGCCTCCGGCCCTCTGTATTCCCCCACTAGGTGGCGTCGGTGAGGACAGACGTGCGCAGGATGGACGGTCTGCAGTCCGAGCTGGAGTCTCTGCTCACTCAGGTGGCGGAGCTCGAGGACAAGACCACTCAGGTGGAGCACAGCATGGTCAAACGCATCGGGGACGTGCTGACCAGCAGCATCGACCGAGTCTCCAATCTCCGCGCCGCGTGTGAACGCAACACCCAGGCCATAGAGAAGCTCCGCGGGCGCGTCCCTGAACTCACCGCCGCTGACGAGCAGATCTCTGAGCGCATGCGGGAGCTGCAGAGCGGCAGAGCTCGCATGATAAGAACGCTGACTTTCGCCGCCGACCTTAAACCCAAAGTCGCAGCCATTAAGAGGGACTTTGGGGCGTTTGAGCCTCAGCTGTCAGACCTGACTCTGCGGATAGGGAGACTGGCAGAGGAGCTGATGAAGAGAGAGCAGGAGGTGGCTGAGCTTAGACAGACACTGGCCAACCTCACTGCAGTGGAGGGAGATTTAAACGTTACATCTAAACAGGTTAGTGAAATAGCTAATATATCTGACATTGGAGAGATGCACCGGCCAACATGAGCAGCACACTTCAACGTCCTCGAGATCAACGTTTTCATACTACTGTTTGAAGGTTTGCCAAAATAAACCTTTTTTTAACACCAAACTTTGACTCGGTGTATGAATGACTCAGAGTGATGTCTGAGCATGTTAATCAAACTGCAACTTCGCTTCCAGCCTTGGGCCCCTTGTTGCATGTCTCACCTCTCTCTCTCTCTCTGTCTCCCCTATTTCTACACCCATCATCTCTCATATAAAGGTGAAAATTCCTCCCCAAAAACATCTTTCAAACATAAGAAAGTAGCATGAATGTGAACATTCTGGCACCTCCGTGTCCCTTTCTAAAGTGTTTTTGAAGTTTGCTTGTGGTTAAGCAAGCTCAGCAAGGTTGTTTCCTTTGTTGACTCCTGTCAGCCAATATTAGAGACAGATTTGACTGGTTTGTTATTGTTTTGTCACCTTTTTAATTGACTTCTCAGCTGTGAAATTGAGGCTGGTGAGTTTGCTTCTTGTGTGTCTGTGGACATATTGTGTCCACTCTATATCGCCACAACCGTGCAATAATAATTATAGTAATCATCCTTGAATAGACCGTTTTTTTACGTAAACAAGATAAAAGGTTTTGACGAGGTTTTGCTTCTGGGCTTATTTTGTGTTCTTTGGGCAGAGCCGGGTTATAGCTGTTTCCAGTCTGTATGATCAGTTAACATGGATCCTGATATTGGCTCAGGATCAGAGATCTTGACACAAAATATCAGCTTTCAATGAAAAACTGAGGAAAATTATGCAGCCAGGCCACAATATATTTATTATTAGTTGACAGATGAAGCTTCAGGTTAATGATGAGACGTCTTCAAGGCTCCACACAGCGATTCCAGTTGCTTCTGACTTCAGACTTTTCTTCAACATTTTGTAGCATCACCTCAGGCCCCAGTTTTCTCTTCCTCAAATCCCGTTTGTATACTTTATAAAGCAGCTTTTTGCTCCTTATGGGTCGAATATTGCACCCCAGACAAAAGCTCCTCACCTTTACCAATGAGTTGTCAAGACTAAAGATTGCAGTTTTTTTTGTTTTTTTTTAAAGAAAACTATGTTTAAAGAGCACTTCCTTGCATCCCCTGAGCGCTCTACATTACTTAAAGGGTCCATTAGAGTCCAAATGCTTTCCAGCAAATAACTGCAGCCTCAGGTGTTCAACCTGGAAGCACATTTCTGCAGAACACCTGGAAGAAGGTCAAAACCTCAAAAGAGATAAATTACATGTTATCTGTTACTGCAGTTTGAAGATGAAAGAGCTCAATGCGTCACTCATGATGTAACAGTAAAGGCAGCTTCAGCACCAAATCATAGTTTTAACCGCATGTCACAGCAAGAAAAGGTTCCTCACAGCTTTAGGTCAACAAAAGTTTTTATTCTTGTAAATAAAAAACATGGAGCGCTCAAAAAGAGCTTATTATTGCATTTGGTTGGTTTAAAAAAAAAAACCAGCCGTGGCACTGAAAATTATACAAAAAACATTATGAGAAAAAAAGGAACTACAGTGCAGAATGAGTGTGTATTTGAATTCACAGATCAGCAGCAGGCTACAGCTCTGCCCCCCCCCCCCGTCCTAACTCCCCACATTGGCTACTTTTCTACTAAAATGCACCGTGACATCGACCGTCAAGTTTGTGAAAAAACGATTCTTCAAGAAAACGGGAGACGTGGGTTGTGGTCTTTGGGAATCATTATTGTCATGATTTGGTGTCCTGATGTCACGTTGCCAAATCAAACTCCCTACTTTCCCTCCTTGCCCTTGGATAAGCCCTCCAGCGTCTTCGTGGTCGCCTGCAGAGCTATCTGAAGAGCAGCAATGGCCTCATCGTGGCCTTCTAGCTTGGCCGCCTTGTCTTCCAAACCAGCTACCACGCTTCTTAAACTCTGCAGCTGCTCTGGCTTTATGCTGCCGCTGCTGCTGTCCTCCAGAGCAGCGAGCCTCTTCTCCAAGACCACCACCTGCTGACCCAGGCTGGAGTCCTTCGAAGACAGCTTGGTCTGGGCACTGCCCAGAGAGGCCATGTTGGACTGGAGCTCCCCCAAACTGCTCTTCAGCACCTCCATGTCCTGCTCCACGCCAGATTTGGCTTTCTCCACGGCCTGGCCCTGTGCGGCTAGAGTGCTTTCATGGGTATCGTACTTGGCGAACAGTGATTCCAATTTGGTGGAGATGTCTGACACGGACGCTGACAGGGAATCCTCGATCTCCTCCGATGTTTTAACTCTGGCCTCCAGGTTTTCCGTTCTTTTCTGGACCTGAGTAGCAGCTTCTTGCACCTGCTCCTCCACGTTACGAACGGCATCGGCCGCGTGCTCCACGCCACTCTCCAGTGTCACGCTTTTGTCCTTCAGAGCCTGGACGTCGGCCTCTGCTGCAGACAGTGACTGCCTCAGATTCCCAACAGTGTCTTGCACCACTGACCTCACTGATTCCACTTCCTGAGACAGCGAGGCTACTTCCTGGTTACGAGTCTGGAGCTCTGACCTCACAGTGCCTATCTGCTCCCTAAAGGAGTCAGCCGAGGCATCGGCAGCCTCTTTGGCTGTTTTGATCTCATCTATGGCTTCGACGATGGCCGACAGCTCCTGTTTGATGAGCAAAGGGTCTTCCATGTCTCCCAGACGGGCCTTGAGATCAGCCAGCTGGCTCTGCGCTTTGCCCTGAGCTTCGGTGAACTCGGCCACGTTGACCGTGATGGACTGACTCACTTCAGCCAGACGCTCCTCCACAGTCTTCTCCAGGGAGGAGAAGTCCCTCTCTCGGGCCTCCTTCACCTCGTTGATGCCATCTGAAAGGTCCTTCAGTAGGTTGTTCTGGAGCCTCTGGAGGGCCTCCTCCACCCTCCTCGTCTCCACTTCACCCCTCTTCATCCGGCTGACTGCCCCCTCCAGCTCCACCCGCGTGATGCCCAGTGATGACTCCAGCCCGTCCACAACGCTGCTCAGGGACTCCACCTGTAGGACAACATCCATTTTAACATCTACAGGATATGATTGAACACATGTAGATCCTAATGCACTCGAATAACTGCCATTTGTCACTCAACATCAACTGTTCAGGAACTAAGAAAGTTTTAAGATTTGTGCATCTTTCAGATGATTCAGAAAGTTTTAAAATAGTTAATTTTCCTATGATATTCCTATTCTCAATTGTCTCGTTATGACACTTTAACAGTTCCTCACTCATGGTCTTCATCAGTGAATGAAGTTGTCCCATTTGTAACACAGTTACAGAGTCGCATTCATTCACTGATGAAGACCATGTATTTTAGTGGAAAGCTCAGTAAAAATGCTGGTAAGTGGATCTTGAGTTAACATTATGTTGTAAAACTACTACTAAGGACAAGAATGAACTGTTGCCTTAATTTTGTAATTTGCCCTCAAATCAATTATTACACTTCCTAAACATGCTAAATTAGATATTTAACATATTAAATCAATATTTTGTTCCATATTGAGTTGGTGTAATATTTTCAATTGTATGGGAATTTTCCAAAATTTAGATTAGCGTGGAACTTCATTCTTGCTCTTCGGAAAAGTGTGGCAAAAGCATCTTGACTAAAGGTCCACTTACTAGCTTTTTCCCTTTTAAAAATCAAAAAGATGGTGCAAGAAATAGTCCACATAGTTTGTTTTTATTTATGGCAGTGGAATTAAACACCGTGGCAAATATTCACGATGCAATCGTTGCTCCTCGGTGTCACTATTATGAGCACTATGAGCTCCCACCCAAAGTAAACTTACACAACACACACGTTCCACTACATCTCTGCACGAGAAGAGTCGAGTCATCACATAGCTGAAGCAAGTTAAGGTGAGAATGTGACTATAGATTAACATTCAGGAAGTGAGGAGAGAATGAATGAAAGGGGGAGGACTTCAGTTATATACACCAGTATGCTTTAGTTTGCATGTGATGACACTGAACAATGACGTTTTTATTACAGCAAAATAGATTGATGATCAGCCATTACTAATCTGTCCTCTTATAAAACAGAGGGAGGTGTGACCTCATCCTTATGTGTTGTCCTCAAACAAAAGAAAACCAAATACAAAACAATGAAACAACCAATGATTTATTTACACAGGGTCTGAAACTTTTATTTGTACTTTTTGGAAGTTTTCTGAATGTAAGGAGGTATACGGAGGAGGAGTTCACCAAATCCATCACAGTAGCTCACCAAACCGACCCAACCCCCACCAGTACATCCAGTACGGACAGTTATGTAATGTCTGACAAAAACAATGCATTGCTTACATATAAAGTTTTTATTTCGATGGGGTTTGTGGAAAAGTGTGGGACCCCCTGCAGATGTCATTCACACTCAGTTCGTACTTCTCTCCACATTGATTCGTGGCTTTCACTTACCTGTTGAACGACGCTCTCCATTGTTCCGCTCAGCTCTGCGTTTTGCCGTGCGCTCTCCTCATGTCTGGCGCTGGTCTGTCGGATTTCCTCCACAACCTGCTGTAAATAAAAAGCAGCAAACCCGGCAGCGCCCAATAACGCGATGTAGAACACAGTGGTCGCCAAAAGGCCGAGGCAGCTCCCTGATCCTGGCTCCTGAGGTCCGGGGCCACTCACCCCGTTACCGGTGATCTTCGGGCTTTTCTTCGACGCATCCTCTTGGATGGATGCGGCGGCGCTCTTCTCGCTCGAGCCGTTCTTGTTTCGGTTTTTCGCAGTCATTGTAAATGGGAGCTCGCTGAGAGAAGTGTGTGTAGGGGTGTGTGTGTGTGTGTGAGGGGTGAGAGCTGCTGGTGTTTTGCAGTCGTGGATGGAGAATGTTTCCAGTACAGTCCCACTAACCGGCCCAGTAGCGTATCAGTGAGCGCGTCGTGTCTCTCCACGGGGCTCTTTAGCGTTGAGGTATGCGGATGGGGGCTGTCCCATGTTAAAATTCAGGCTCTGTATGGGTCCACTGTAATGACAGAAAACACCAGAAAAATGAATGCACAGAAACTAGATCCTCCATATTCGTTTAAAACAATAATGAGGTTTCTGCAGAAGCATCTCTGGTGCAGCAGCACTGATTATTCCTAAAATACGGGTTAGGTAATTTCAGTGACTTTTTCACAAGTTTTGTTCCTACGGGATCAAAATGAGCAGCTTTATTCATCTTTTAAGTAACTTGAAGTGAGCAAAATGTCACTGTGATCTAGTGAAGGATAAAAGATGCTCTAACTTGGGACAAAACGCTGCAGCCTCCCAACCGTGCATTGCTGTCTGAAGTCTATCATTCAATGTTAGTGACATAAAAGCGTCTATTATTACTCTGTTTTTACTGTGGCACACGTTCATAAATGCTGTAATGAACCCAAAACACTGAAGACTGATGCAAACTTCCTGCAACGGGTTTAAAGTGAGGCAGAGCGGGGCAGGGAGGGGCTGTTTCTTCCCTCCAGCTCGCTCCTCCTTTCATACGTGGCAACTGCAGGCTGCTGTTAACTCCTTTGGTTAGATCTCTGCACAGAGAGAGAGGCTCATCAGAGCCAAGTCACAGCTTTTATGTGCCCACTGACAAAGAAGTGAAAAGTCCAAGAGGTTTCACTGCCTTTCAATTATTATACATATGAGTGAGTCTTTTTTTTTTTTTACGTACCTTAGATTTTGTTTGCAAGTGAATGAACACAAAGTTATTTTCATAGGACTTGTTCTAAAGAGTACATCAAAGAAAACAAAGTGATATTACCATAACATTTTTGTATTCTCAGTCCATTCATAATTATTGCTTATTATTATATCACCATTTGTAGTGTTGTAATATCAAAGACTATTTCTGTTGGATTTTTTTGTATATCCTCATGCAAATTTTCTCTCATGTTTAATAGAAAAACACGTTTTTTCCCTAGTTATTCTTATTCTTGTGATAATATATACAAAGCATATTAACATCCTCGACTTGAACACCAGATGTCACTAAAAGAGCGTTTTATGGTGAGAGCAGAGAACACCCTGAAGCCACGATGCAGTATGGACACCATAATGTCAAACTGTAACAATGACTAAATATAATCTATTTACATTTATCATAGCATCTTCCTCTGAAAGATAATTACTGAGCAAACAGCAGAGTTAACATCTGCAGTAATTGAAACTATAACAGTATATAAGTATTCAAATGATACCAGTATATCCATAAATATAAGTACTTACAGTTACCCCATCCTCATCTTCAAGTTCAGGGGTTTCCCAGCGGATCCTGAACGCATCACGACGCCCCGCCCTGACGCCGTGACAACAGACGCTGATCGTGCCTCGCGCTGTCCAGGTGTTCGCTGTATGATATTGCAGAGATCATCTGGGACAGTTTTTTGGAGCTTTATCAGTGTCTCTGCACGACATGGCCTAACGTGGTATGCATTGTCCACAAAACCCGGCTGTCACTCGGACCTCTGAAATGCTGTTTTTCCGCATCAACTGTCAGAGAATGAAGCGGGAACACCGTTAAAATGAAGACTGACACGGGTATGAGAATTTGAGCTGTGTGTTTATACCTCGAGTGGGAAAAAGCTAGCGGGCAGGCTAGCCAGCTAGCTCAGAAACACCTCGGCCGACCGGCTCGGATAATCGGATTCGTGCGACCATGGCTGGACTCATCAAGAAGCAGATCCTGAAGCATCTCTCCAGGTCAGTCCTGAGCTGTGTTAGCAGACATGCTAGCTCGCATCCCTGTTGTCTGTCAGACTGTCAGCTGCGTGTTCAGGTGACGTAACCCTCACTGACCCGAGGCAGCAGCTAACTGGCTAGCACTGGGGCTAGTTAGCTGGTGAAGGGCTAATCCCTCAATACCTACTGTGTAGCAGGTTGAACCAGTCGAGTGGTTGAGTCAGATTGTTAAAACGACAATCTCAGCTAATGGCAGAGTATCCCCGAGTAAGTGTTCAGCTAATAACACACCGACTACAACAATAAATCACGCAATAATGAGATAATTAGACAGTAATATGACATTAATATGTCGATACGTTGTTTACACGTGTTTGAACTACTGCTTATCTGCTCTTTTCACAACTGTGCCTCCCTATCAGCTATCACATGGACCCTCAACGCACCACACAAGATCATTAGAGAAGGAAATGTCCTAAAGCATCAGTCTGTCCCCTTAATTATACACATTTGACAGCATGTTGTAGCACCTGCAGGCCCCCATTTATGTATCTAGAGATAAATGAGCCTTATATTGGTTCATGGTCTGTTTAATAGCGCTACCACTTGCTGTGTAAAGCCCCCCTATTTTATTTAAATGTTTTGCTGTTATGGGCAGCATCAGCTGGACCCGCTTTACATGCATTATTCATTCTTTTCCACTGTCCCTCAAGGGACTTTCAATGGACTACTTCCTTGTTTTGTTCCAGAAGCAGAGCTTGAAACACAGAGCCGGCACTCACCTGCTGCTGACCTATAACGGAGCACCTTCAAACAGAAGAGTGCGTTGAATGATAATGTGTTAAACTCAAAAAGAAATGACAGCGCTCACACGGAGCGTAAGAAATGACAGCTGTCACGTTCATTTTGCAGCTCACAGATGACTGATGTCTTTGAAAAGCTCGTCGGTATGCAGCTGGACCAGCTCGTGGTCATGAAAAAGAAAAAAGCACAAAGATGATCGTGCTCTGGGAGAAAAAGTATTTGTGGTGACTCGGTTGTAATTAAATACCTTAATAGTGTTTAGGCTTTGTCCTTCAAACACTTACACACTGTCAATTTTGCCTGTTTTGTCTCCAACACACAGCCTGTGAGTGGCATGCCCTTCGTTGTCCTAGTACCCTAAGTTGTGTGTGTGTGTCGAAGCAATGCACAAGTGACTGTGCATGCCCTCAGCAGCATTAGCGTCGACATTGACAGGAAGTGACCCGAAGAGTAGCGATGATGTCATCCTCTTAGGTCTTCTCTGATCTTCTTTGTCCCGTCCTGATTGGTCCGGCATATATATATATATATATTAAAAAAAAAAAAAGGCTAGATTACTCACACACACACACTGCTCCTAGGTGTGCTTTGACAACTACAGGTTATGTTGCGGGTGTCAACACGTCCGCTCAATGTTTGCAGATGACACACGTCTGTCCCAATACTTGCGTAGACCGGGGCGAGCCCTTTTTAAGAGTGAGGCAGCACCGCCATCATTGCAGCTCATTGCCCCAGTAGTCTGCAGTGGCTGTTCCTCCTCCGGGCCGAGAATATGTGCACCGAGGCATGCAGGGCGGGTTTTTTTCCGGGTTAGAAGAAGCATCGTGTGTGTGGCTTTTTGTGTGGAGTTGTTGGATTTGTTCTGTGTTATCCTAATGTGACGGTGTATCGATGAAGACAGGTCGAACTCTGGGAGCCCCAGGGAGTGATTAGATGACAAGGTGTGTGTTTGTCATCATTACAGACAGACAGGTTTAGATTATCGACGGGATTAACAGAGCTCCTGTTACACACACACACACACACACACACACACACACAGATGGATGGATGGCTCTTTATTCCCTCTGCTTTGTTTTTTGTCAAAGACAGTTTGTCTTGCTTTCACAGGGAGGTTGATAGGCCACAGGCTTAGCTGGTAGATATTTTGACACAGAAGCTTAATTCCAGACTCAAACTTTGTAGGAATGACTGGTCTTGTGACAGAAATAATGCAATTGAAGTAGTTGATTGAGTTATCGGTTAGTCCCACATTTATTCACACTGCTTCCTTCTTTATTTGTTTTGAAGGAACCACAAAAAATGCCTCCCGCTTATCCATACCATCCTGTCTACAGACTGCTTAGTAATGTCACAAGACCACAGCCGTCCCACAAACTGTGGACGGCGTAATCTACATCCTCAGTCCCAGAGAATGTGGAAATGTTGAGTGGTGGAGGGAGATTTGCCTGATGCGCATAGAGCAAAGCTGTTGACAGACAAACGTACACAGAACGGGCCCCTAAGAAGGACAAGATTAGCACTATAGCTTCTAATGGAAAGTCAGCAGAGTTTGACTGTAAGGCTAGTGTTAGGAAACGTGCGCACACAACACGTCTGTTCTGAGGTTTAGTGCCCACTGCGGTGTGAGAGATGAGTTTATTTCTGCTGCGTTTGTCGTCGTGGGCCTCTTTAGGTCCGACTCTTCCCGTCCTGCAGCAGCGGTGTGATGGTGCACCGTGGTGATGAACTCCATTGTTTCCAGCGTTACGGCTCACTGCTGGTGGCACGAGTCACGACTGAGTGCCGAGCTGTGGGCGTCTCATCAGTGCGTAGCTGTGACGCACTTGAAGGACAGCTGCGTGTTGTTGTTGTTGACGTGTGTGTGTGTAGGAGTTTGTGCACAGCTGTAGATGTGTGTGTCTTTGCACTTGTGCTGGTATGTGGGCGGGAAAGTAATTCATATAATCCAGCTTGATGATAACTTTGAGATGACGCAGTCTTTTTTAATAACTGTTCTATTAGTGCTGGCTAATGTGTTTTTTGTCTGTCAACACATATTCAAGCTCAAACACTTTGCAAACAGCTTTAATATCAGAACAGTGTGCTGTGCAGAATAGTAAAGCAGGAACGTTGAGACGTCATCAACATGTTTTTTGCAACATGCTGGAGAAGACTGCTGGCACTACTCAGGACTATCTGAAACCAAACCAACAGCGTTGGCACCTTTGTCCAAAGAAGCACTTTGTTTCTTTATATCTATATCAATAAAACAGAAGGATTTCCCAATAAAGACACCTGGACTTTGTTATAGGCTCTTTTGACAAGCAAGGCAGTCAGATGATAGAGTTGTAAGTGGGTCATGTTACCCGCCTTCAATCAAACTTCAGCAGAACATTCCTCAAGAAGGTGTTATTTAAAATGAATATTGGGTTAAGTTGTTTTTAGACCTCCAGCAGACACTGCAGTGCTGCTGGCCTCTCACAGATTTCATTTAATTTGTTGGGTTGTCTTAGTGTGCCATATTTACCACAGGCTTCATATGCTTCATTGGGTGTTTCTGTTGGTTTTGTCAACTGGTCTCTAACTGAGTAAAGTCCCCTGATACTCATTGCACTCCTCCACGTTGACACTGAATGAGCTGCTGAAGGATTTGGAGGCCAATTTAAATGTCACGTCCTCCATTCTTGTCGTTGAGCCAAAGCCTGCTGCTTGGTCTAATAAACACTGGCAGCAATGAATGTGGCAACACATCAGATCCTTTTTATTTCTCAGGAAAAACACTATTTTCTAGCTGTAGTTTCTTTGTCTCTCTTTCTGTTCGTCTTGTCTCTCTTTGTCTCTTTGTGTTGCCCAAGTCTTGGTCGCCATAACAAGCTGGTCGTCTGTTTGAGTCACTCTCGCCATCTTCCCTCAGGCTTCTCTCTCTATCTCTCTCTATCTCTCTCTCGCTCTCTCTCTCGCTGGCACTGATGTCATCAGGCTGCGCCACGAATGCACCGTCAGGGCAGGAAAAAGTGTCTTTGTTTCCATTCACAGGATCCACAGACATCAGCAGAAAAGAGTGGCGGCCTGAAGTCTGCGTCTCACTGTATTTCTGGTTCAGGGGGGAAAACCGTTAGACATCTTTAAAGTTGATTTACACACAAACACTTAACAAAGAAGACAGTACATGATCATCTTCACACTTCTCTCCAGCCAGCAGCTAGTCTTGATCTCTTTGTGGGTTCTGGATTTGATCCGGTGAGCCGGAGACGAGAGGGAAAGATGCCAGTGTGTGAACTTAATCCCCTCGGCCTCTTGCTGCTGTTCTCAATGCACGAGTCTGTCTGTGTAATTTAGCTTATTTAGAGTCGAGTCGCCTTGATATTAGACAGCGGATCAACAACATGTTATTACAGTGTTGGTTTATTTATGACTTTGGAAGAAGGAGAGAGGAAACAAAGGGGGGCTGGCCTAGGGGAGACCGAGCAGCCAGATAAGGAGAGAGAGGGACGCTAGCTGGTGGATACTTGATCAGCAGCAGGAATGAATATTTCACTGTTTACAAGGCTGAGCAACAACACCCATCTCTCAGAGACAGGCGGTGGTTCTGTATGCCCATGTGAGCGCATGTGCACAGAATAATACTCTGTTTATCTCTGCTGCTGAATAATTTACAGGTTACACGTTGAATTGGAAGATAATCTTGACACCGCAAGGAGAAGGTGTTCGGAGGAATTTGTAAATTTGTAAATTAATTCATAAACGGCTGAATCATAAAGCATTGCTCATGGGGCAAAGTGTCTCTTCACACTCGCAGTACATCTTGCTTGACAGTCCTTGCATGGTGTCTTGTGTCAAAACGTCACAAAGGTGTTTCAAACGACAGCGATCCATCCATCGCTGTGTTGATTTGAGCGCGTTGGCACACATTCCTCGCGGCATACGTATCTCAGTCAGTAGGGCAGTAAAAGACTATTGTCTCTGCCAGGGCAATCAGGCCACTCTGTCGGTAATGTGTGCGTGTGCTGGCTGTGAAACTGAGCTTTGAGCCGGCCCCGTTTACAGACGCATACTGTAAGTGTGTGAGAGATTAGCTGGTAACAAGATTTAGCCGACTTGTACTGCACACAATGGCCGTGTTCATGGAGCTCAAACTAGGAGGACATACACGTCCACACGTCAAAGGATGAAGGCTGTCAAATCGATACCGTCCCTGTTTTTAGGAGATTCCGTCAGACTGGACTGCGGAGATTCACGGGTCAATGATCCATTCAGTATCTGCCCACTCCGCTAACTATTAACCCGTAATCTGAGCGTGAGCGTGGGCAGAAAACACTTAGGTCACGGACGCTGGAGTTTGTGTGTTCAAGCATATTTACTGAAGCTAAAAAGCAAATAGAGCGAACACACAGAATCACCTCAGCACACAGAGATGTTATAAATATATACATACGTAGCATTTCCTGTGAAACTGAGGTTGTAAAAATGAATACAAGCTCATACCTTTTTAATTAAAGGGGTTTATTGGCGTCTGATGCCGTGTGAGGTTTGAGTACACTTTGTCCTTTCTGTGAACATAGTGTCAGACTGAGGCCTTTTACTTTACCTCCCACTGTACCATCCTGTCTGCAGTATTTATATCCATACTTGCGGGGTTGATCGTCTCATAGTATGACTTCAACAACTTTTTGCGTGTTATTAAAATGATGTGGATTGTGTTCTTAGATATTATTCACTCAGAAATGAATAGCTTGCTTTAGAAAATACTGTATATTGCCTGATATTCATTCATTCACTCTATAAATATTCCCAGGCTCAAAGCTGCCCTTTCTTCTCGCCCGTGTGTCATAGGTTTGCTAAGAACTTGTCGCCGGACAAAATCAACCTGAGCACGCTGAAGGGCGAGGGCCAGCTCACCAACCTGGAGCTGGACGAGGAGGTCCTCCAGAGTCTGCTGGACCTGCCCACCTGGCTGGCCATCAACCGAGTGGAATGCAACAAGGCCGCCATCAGGGTGAGGGAGTCATGTGTTGAGTTCTACATTTTCATTAAAATACGCTCATTTGGTGTCCGGCAGGTAGTTGGATGAGAAAGATTGTTACCGCTCTCATCTGTACATTAGATATGAAGCTGTTGGCAGTCTTTATGCTAAGCTAAGCTAACTACCTCCATGCTGTAGCGTCCTATGTACACATAGATAAGAGTTAGATAAGATTGAAACTACTTTTTACAAGTGAATAAGCATATTTCCCAAAAATGTCAAGTTTTTGCTTTACATCTTTAATTCTTTGAAGGGGATTGTTGAAACAAAAGTACAAAGATCTGATTTATTTACAAAGTCATCTTTAAAATAATACACACAACTGATTGACGTTATTTTATTTCATTACAAAATGAAAGGAAACCCAGAAAACAACATAATTCTCCTCTGTATAGAAACAGACATGCTGACACTTGATTCAAGCGTATGGTGTACACTTCCATTGAGTCTTTGCTCTACACACACACACACACAGACTGATGCCTGAGATGTGGTCACGGTCATCATGGTCATGGTATAAGAGACTCTGACACACCCTGGAAACAGTGAATGTAATTTCCTTCGTGACTTGGACTTTTATTCAGACCAAAGTCAACGTTTTCTTTTCCACCTCCTGGTTGTCTCTCTGTTCTCAACCCTGTCTTCGCACACTTGTTTGAATCTCCATTTTATTGGTCACTACCCAATGAAATATTGTCATTGCTGTGTCATTGTCAGTGTTGCAACGATAATACCCGCATCATTTTCAGTAAGTGTGTGTGTGGAGCATCAGATTTCAATGGAATTGAAACCTGCTTAAAGTGCGTTGTGTTGCTTACTGATGGTAAAAAGAAAAAAGAGAACAGATGTATATCTCACTTCCTCACTCGTTAGATCCCCTTCTCTTCTTCATCTCTTCCTGTTACCGAGGAGCAACACTCTAACCTCCATTTTAAAAGACACAAACAAATGAAATTAAATAAAAGTACATAAATGTTCCTGCTCTTTAGACTTAAAGTGACAGGTCTGAGCTAACGCCCCCTACTGGCACCTCCTAGCATTATACTCCTAGAACTGCAAAGTGAACATGAGTGTTTAATCTCTTTTGCTCTATAATTTGACACGGACTTGAATCAAGAGGCGGCATGTTGAGGATTAATGGAGCGCCGGAGCTGAATGGAACTAACTGCCTGTCAGTCCAGACTCATTGATTTCTCTTTCTTCCTTCATCTCTGAGCTAACTGGCCTGCTGCTTTTGACTTGATTTAATTCAGTAGCATTTAATTTGATTTGTGCAACCCATTGATTTGAATGGTAATGTAGTTTAGGTGTTTTTCGGGAGCACTAAAAGGCCAAACGCTTGCCAAATGGATCAGAATACTGTGTGGCTGAGAAGCTAAGCCGCTGCTCTGTTTTCATTCACAGATACCATGGACAAAGTTGAAGACTCACCCCATCACTTTGGTAAGTTTCACCCACAACACCCGTCGCTCACGTAATCAAAAGAGGTAAATGAGAAGTTTTTATTTCCACGTTTGTTGTTATTCAAAGCAGCAAAATCTCCGATAAAGCCATTTACAAATAAGATTTGTTTCTTAACTTAATGGGACCGATTGGATTTGGGTCCGTCGCACGTCACACGACGCAGTTCATCACAAGGTGAAGAGCAGGAAGCCGCTGAAGGTGTTGTAGTAATAGCTGTCGTCGAAGACCGCCCTGTTGGCGTAGAGCTGCACGTACACGCTGTCTCCGGCCTCCAGCTGCACCACGGCTGCGTTGGTCGCACTGTCCTGGCTGTCGTCGCCCACCGTGTCCCACGTAGACACCATCTTCTGGCTGTTCATCATCAGGGACACCACCGAGTTGGGCTGTCCGGAGTTGTTGTTGTACATGGTGTAGCTGAAGTAGTACATCCCCCGGACCATGGCGGTGAAGATGCCCGTGGCGGGGTTGTAGCCGCTGCCGATGTTGGAGAGGATTCTCTGGTATTTAAGCGGCGTGTCCTGAGCGAACGGACCGGTTGAGGCTCCCAAAGCGGCGGAGAAAGCCATCTTCGATGCGGTTGACGACGTGAGGTCTGCGAGGGCCTTCAGCTGCTCGTCCTGGGCCTGGTTTATCTTCTGGAGCTCCTGGGACTGGCTTTTGTAGGACTGCAAGGTGGCTTCGACGCCGGCCATCTTCTGCATCATGGTGCCGAGGTTTTGCTCGAGCTTGCCCTGTGTCTGCGACATGGCTTCCAGCTTCTCCCCCATGGCTGCCACCGCGGTGAGCAGGGCACAGGTGTCGGGTTGGCAGACCGCCATGCTGGACCCGGTCCCCAGGTGGCTGTAATTCCCAAAGCACAGGCTGCTGGAAACCGACAACAACACGAGGAATAAACACTCCATTTTCCGACACTCGTCCACACAGAACCTGGAATGTTGCGTGTGGTCCTCGGTCCTAATTTATATATGCTCCCAGCACCGGGTGTTTTTCACCGCCTTGATGTATTATATAAAACACTTCAACAAACATATCAGAGGAACACAAAACTATCGCGACACTATTTATCAGACATGTACCATGATTATCAGGACCACATAATACAAGGGCTTTGTTATAAAAGGTAGCACAATGGCACTTTGTTGTAACCGCTATGAGTCACTATACTGCACAACACAATTTTATCACACCACCAACAATAGCATGGAAGTATTCTACAACAGCGAAAAAGGGAAGACGGGCTACTGCACGAAGGCGGTACCAAAAGAGTGTCTAGACTTTTATTAATTAGAGAATAACTCTTTGCATTTCAAGGTGTTTTATCTACGCTAGACAGGCTGCTGCTTGTGCGTGAGTGAACAATATGTAGGCGGCATCCACACCTCCAGTGGCAAAGGGCGACGCTGGCCACAACAACTTATTTTGATCAACTTCAAATCTTCAAACTTCAATCGTTTCCACTCTAATGTTTTGTTTGGCGGACGAACACGTGAGGTGATGACTAACATCTTTACAAAACAGGAGTCAACACGCTGATGTAAACTACCACAGCAGCTAGGTCTGCTACAGTACAATACTCACCATATAAGTGGAGCCTGATCTTAATTTAAACGGGTTTAAACAGAATGAATAGACATGCAAACAAGCATCCGTGTGTTGATTTATAATTCATATCCGGACTGTTCGGTACAGTCCTGATGAAGACTTTGTTGGTAGTGAAGCTAAGCCTGTGACTTGGTTGCAGACTCTGGATAAAGTGGTGATGGAGATGAGCACCTGTGATGAGCCCCGTCCCCCTAATGGCCCGTCTCCCATAGCCACAGCATCAGGACAAAGGTGAGCGCTGCTGCTGTTTCTTTTGTGCTCCTTGTACCGCAGACATTATTGAACTCTGACGTCCTTTTTAAAGCGGGGCACAAGGGTTAAATATTCGGTGTGTTTACCTGACTTTCTCTCCAGTGAATATGGCTTTGCTGAGAAGGTGGTGGAGGGGATGTCACTGTCCATCAATTCCATCATCATCAGGATCAGTGCCAAGGCCTTTAACGCCTCCTTTGAGCTCTCCCAGCTGCAGGTCTACAGCGTCAACACCAGCTGGAGCATCAGTGACCTGCGGTTCACCCGCATCCAGGACCCTCAGAGGGGAGAGGTTCGTGTTCATTTATTCTTTTCATTTAAAAGACTTCTAGGATGTTATGTTATTTTTTTTTTTTTAATGGCTCTTCCACTCCTGTTTGGTTCAGATCCTGACGTTCAAGGAGATCAGCTGGCAGATGATCCGCATCGAGGCTGACGCTATCCAGAGCGCCGAGCATGAGATGCTGAGCGCCCCCATTCGCCTCATCACCAACCAGTCCAAGATCCGAGTCACTCTGAAGAGACGGGTCAGCATCAAACACACACACACACACACACACACACACACACACACACACACACACACACACACACACACACACACACATAGTCCTATCTCCTAAATATGCTGTCTGTGGGGTTTTAGTCCATATTGTAAAAACGTATATTCTGCTGGCTGTACCTGATAAAGAACATGTAACGTGCGATTCGAGTGTTAAAAACAAATACCTCACACAATAAGAGAATTTCCCTACGAGTGTCACGTTCCATTTATGGGAGCTCTCAGGCTACCTCCACCTGCATAATGCATGTCTGTGCCAATGGCTCTGTCCGACACAGATTAAGGACTGTAACGTGGTGGCCTCCAAGCTGATCCTGATCCTGGACGACCTGCTCTGGGTGCTGACCGACTCCCAGCTCAAAGCCATGGTGCAGTATGCCAAGTCGCTCAGCGAGGCCATGGAGAAGTCTGCGCAGCAGAGGAAGAGCATGGCCACAGAAGAACAGGTGCGCATGTCAATGCCCAAATGTCACCCTCTGTGGATACGCCGTGTCATGGTCTGATAGTTTGTCCTCGTGTCCGTGGAGATCATGTCTGCCCCTCTGTGTCGCCATATGGCGTCTGTCTGCCTCCACCATCTTTGTCTCTCCTAGTTTTTGCTTCTGAAACACATACACTCACTAAATACATTGATCGCCCACGCAAATTCACACTTATCCAGGTCGCACAGAGCTTGCATTACCATCTACTGGAGGAATTGAGTATTGCATGATTCAGCAGTTGATTGAACCAAACAGTCTGTTCAGTCTCTGTATGCCTAACATTGACATGAAAACACACTACAAACCTCCAACACTGATCCTTGTATCTGCGGATTTTTTTCCGCCTCTGTGTTCACCAGGTGTCGTCGCCGCCGCCCTCGGCCCAGCAGGTGCGTACGCAGCAGGCGTCCACGGCGGCCGAGCAGACCGCCACCATGGCCAACCTGTTCAGCACCTACGACGTGTGCGAGACATCCCACCACCTCCAGATCACACACCTCGACCTGCACATCTGCGACGACATCCACGTTAAGGACAAAGGTCGCATATGCACGGATCTACATGTGCTGTACATGACATGACACAGAAAGCTTTTTTTCTTTGACTCTTCATGAATACACACACCTGCTCAAGCTGTGGCCTCAATTCCCTTTTTCTTTTTTAATTCAACAGCATGTCACTAAAAAGCTTAGACTTGACTATTTCTCTGTCTTTCGCCTGTGCAGTGAGCAATAAGAGGATAACAGGTGGAGCCATGCAGCTCTCCTTCAGCTCCATCACTCTGGACTACTACCCTTTCCACAGAGCAGGTATGAATCCTGCAACGATAAGAGACCGTGTCTGTTTTTGACTTCTACATCTCCCCTTTACCTTGGGATGCAAAATCCAAACGATTCACGTCAAACAAATGACGGGCGTACCACTACCTGTACCGATTTTCCTCCTCTCCGACCTCTCCAGGTGACAGTTGTGACCACTGGATGCACTACAGCGAGGCCACCAAGACCAGAGAGGGCTGGGTGCGGAACCTGCTCAATGAGTTCAACTCCAACGTGGAGATGTTAACGAGCGCAGTTCGAGACCACAAAGGGCCGGCCCCCGCGCACACTTCCCCACAGCACGGTAAACCCGCGCGCCTCAGGGTGTCGCACTTTTGTTGCTTCTCCTGGCACACGGCACATCATCCCTGTGGATTTTCTGTCCTCCAGTGTCCCTTAGGGACGATGTGTATGGGCCTCTAGGAAGTCAGGAGAGAGCAGGAGGAATAGGGCTTAGGGAGGCAGAGGGAGGACTCCTAGAGTGGAGCGCAAACCCACAGCCTCCGGCCCAGTGCTGCTGGTGCCTTGAGCCAGGTACCCCGGGTGTGTGTGCGCACAGCTGGGTGCGGTGGGTGATGCACACCTTTTTTGAAAGGCACAAGGGTTTCTCGTTGGTGAACTGAGTGGTTTCTGTTTGTCTCCCTCCCTCCCCTTGTCATTTCATTTTTGTCCCTCCTTTCTCTATCCTTCAATCTCTCGTTCTCTCTCTCTCTCCAGGTAAGATAAACACCTCCTCCAGCGCCTCCTTCAGTCCTCCTCTCCCTCAAAGCCCCAAGACCCAGCTCATGTCCAGCTCTGTTGTTCTCAGGATAGCTGACTTCAGCATCTATCAGGTCACCGCAGATGCACTCTGGCTCACACACCTTCATGTTTGGAATCACAGACTACTACATAATCTTCACTGCTGACTTTTCGTGACGGTTTCTGTGTCTTTTTTTTTGTGTATTTGCAGGTGTCGACAGCGGACCAGCGGCGCTCCAGCCCCAAAACCATGATCTCCTGCAATAAGAAGACCTTGTACCTTCCCCCAGAGATGCCAGCCATTCATGTCGAGTTCACGGAGTACTACTTCCCCGATGGAAAAGACTACCCAAGTAAGACTTCTGTGTTTAGCGTCTTATTTTAGAAACATTCATCTTTATAAGTAGGTCGGTTTTACACACCAGGCACACTGTTCTGGCTTTCTTTCCCTCCTCCCGTTTGGATCTATTCAGCCCATTTATTCAGCTGTGGGGAAGTCACTGACTGCTGTGTGGCTGAGAAAACATTGATTTTCTGAATTACGTCCAGTGTTCTGAATGAGGAATGATGCGTACATTAAACACTTTGATGCTTTTTCTTCTTCTTTTTGGCAATAAAGCGGAGATTGTTCTTTCTCGTGTTTTCTCTCTTTGTGATTTCTCTAATGTCTCATTCCTCCCTCCTCTATGTGACTAAAGAATGCATAACGCCACATCTCTTCCCACTTCCCCACTTCCTCCCGCCCGTCTAGTCCCGTGTCCTAACCTGTACGTCCAGCTGAACGCCCTGCAGCTGGTTCTGGATCCACGCAGCCTGGTGTGGATCAACCTGTTCGCCCTGGACCTCAGGCAGAGCCTGGAGCAGTTCATGGAGATCTACAAGCTCAGCGACTCGCAGAAACCCGAAGAGCACGTCGACGTCAAGGTTGACGGCCTCATGCTCAAGGTGAGGTGGAAGGCAGAGAGGTGGACACGTGAGCTTTTTGTTCAGGTTTAAAGGGTGGAATGAGTTCTCTGGTACTGATTTAAACAGATTTTTTTCTACGCTCCATTAGCTGGTGATTCCCATCGATCGGGATGCCTCCTGTCCCGCCGATCTGCCTCGCTCCATCTCGGTGCAGACCTCAGAAATGGTGGCCACGAACACCCGGCACCCGGCTAACTGCACCCGCTCCCACCTCGAGGCCCTGCTGCAGGCCTTCGAGGAGCAGCCCTTCTTCTCTCCCTGTTTCTCCTCGTTCCCTCGCTCCTCCTCCTCGGTACCCCTCCTCCACCCCGTCTTCCAGCGCCACGCTCACGAGCAAGACACCAAGCTCCACGACATCTACCGGGGCCTGGTGGTGCCCACGTTGGGGACGGACGCCCTCAAGATGCCGGCCGCCGCTGACTTTTGGGCGCTGCACTTTGCCCAGTTCTGGGTGGACTACGAAGGCACCCGCGGAGGCAAAGGGCGGCCGCAGCCCTTTGTGGACTCCTTCCCTCTGACCGTGTGGGCGGGTCAGCCTGCGAAGATCGTCCAGCACCAGGAGAAGCTCAGGTGTGGTTTGTCCAGCAGCACATCCGGAGAGGCTGTCGCACGGCTGCAGAGGAAACGTTTGTTAAAAGACTATTACAGCACCGATGCACACGATGCAACACCGCCTCCCAGTAACGGACTCCATAAACCCCTCTCATTGGACAGTCTGCCCTCCTCCTCCTCCTCTTTGTCATCATCCAGTAAAGATGCAAATGTGCATGTGTTGGTGCACGTGCAGAAGCATTTAAGTGCTCAGGTATGCTTTTCATTCTTTTGGCTGTGAAAACTGCACAATATGCGCAAAACGTGATGGTGAATCATTCATTTGGAATCTTAATTCATCAAAAATAACCCATTGCACCTGTAATTCGTTAACATACCTTTTGATAACCGCTTTGGTATGTGTGTGTGTGTTTGCAGGTGAGCCACCGGCAGTATGTGTTTCTGATGCAGCTCCAACGCAGCATCAAAGCCCTGCAGCAGACACTACAGCAGGATCTGGAGAAGATGGGCTCCAAGAAAGACCGCAAGGATCCCTCTCAGCATCCTGCAGACCACCAGCCCTTCACCGTCTGCCTGGGCCTCCTGCTGAAAAGCGCGGAGGTGTCGATGCTCCTGAAACCCGTCCCCCGCCCCGAGGGTTCCGGATCTCCCCTGGGGTCCGAGCTGTCCCCCTCAGAGAGCCGAGGAACTCTGGATGCAGGAGAGGGATCCGGGTCTGAGGGAGGAGCCGCCAAAGGGGTGTGCACTGTAGACCAGCTGCTATGTGGTGAGGGATCAGAGTGCGGAGCCACACACGGTCCTGCCCCTCTTGTCCCCAACTACACTTCAACTACACGTCCTGACTCCAATCACAAAGCGTCAGTGGACGAGAGGACTTTCGCTAAGAACTCTGGGAGGCGGAGTTCAGATGAAGGGGGCGAGATGGTAGTGGATGGAGGTGAAGACGTGGGAGGCGGACTAGACTCTAAAACCCAGACGAGTGACCCGCTGTCTGACTGTAGTGACAAAGACAAGTCTGCAGCCGCCAAGATGCCTCAGTCAGCATCCAGGTATTGAGTTTATCACACAAACAGGTTTTCTATCACTGAGAAACAACAGGACTGTACTCAGTTAAATGACTCTGTTGTGAGTGAAGTCAGTGCTGTACTTCAAATCTCGTGTTATCCAATCCCAAACTCAAAGATATTCACTCTAAAGTGACATAAAAACAGATAAAAGCGGCTAATCCTCTTATTTAGGAAGCTGAAAACAGCAAATATTTTGTGTTTTGCCTTTATTAAATGAATGAAACTAATAAAAATGGCTGCCTTTGACATTTTATAAACTAAACAAATAGTCATTTTATTTAATCAACAGATAGATCGATACGTTGCAGCCCTTAAAAGATCACACGTGATCATTCGCTACAGTTTATAGATTTCATAACTGAATCATAAATATTCCCCTCTGTTCTTCACTGTGGATGATGAGTGTAAGGAATGAGTTTCTCTCTCTAATTGAATCTGTCTCTTCCTGAACACAAGAGCTGTGCGTTGAACTCCCGTATGAGTGTTTGTCAGTGTGAACGTGACTCCTCTCTGACGGTTATGACTGTCGGCTGGCCTCGAGCTGCCATCTCTTCCTGTGTGTAATGTCTCATTTACTGTCTTCATATCCAGCACGTCATCTTCTCGTCATTCCTCAACTCATTCACTTTCTTTTCTGCCTCTTGACTCTTGCGAGGTGTGTGTGTGTGTTTTCTCTCTACCAAGGAAAGGAAGTTTGTCTGTGGTTTCTGATCTCCTCAGCTCCTCAAACTCCAGCAGATCCACCTCCCTTTATTCCATGTCCAACATGTAAGGCACTGGATCTGTGACTAGCCGTGTTAGTGTGTGTGTGTGTGTGAGAGAGAGAGAGTGCGGCTTCGTCTTGTGAACCCTGGATGAGAACAAATCAGTGAAAAACGTGCGTGATGTGAATCCCCCGGTGGGCGTGCATGTCTGCATGCGTGCATGACGCGCTGGTCCTCGTCTGTGTTAAATGAGTCTTGTGTTTGGTGTCTTCCTGTTGACTCGTGGTGGGTCTGCCTTGTGTTCTCAGTCTTTTGGGAGCCGCTTTAATTTGAACCGTTGAGTTTCTCCGCGGATCGTTTCTTGCTCTTGGAGGGATTGCACACTTGGTTCTTCTAACATAACCTTAAACAACACCACACTAAGGACTGAAGCGATATTTAATTCATGACTCGTCGAGTAAGCCCTGTCAGCTCTCCGAGAGCACAGCAGCCTCTGCTCGGTGTCAGCAGAAGAAGAAGAAATCCCGATCAGATATGACTAAATAAAAGCACCGTTTCTTTTCTGGACTCTTTAAATCAAACAATCAACGTCCCTGTCGATCATAAATCACTGGCATGCATTAACCCAAACCCAAGCAGATTTCAAACTGTACAGAAAGATCTGATTGATACGCTCCATCTCTTGTGTGTGTGTGTGTGTGTGTGTGTGTTGTAGTGGTCGTTTGATGCGGGACCGCTCCCAGTCCAGCTTCTCTGTGTCCTACAAGAACATGAAGAAGAGCCCGTCCCTACAGTCGCTGGACAACATCTCCATAGACAGCTACGTGATGGAGGACGGAGACACGTACAGTCTGCTGGAGAGAGGTGGGGCAAACATTAATGCATTAATAGCTTTTTGTTATCTTTAATCTTTGAAATAATCTTCTAAAAATATGATTACTGCACATCTACTGGTAGGCAACTGTATTGACCAGAAGGTGGCAGCATTGTGCTGATACGTCGGTAATGTACAGTGTAACAGGGGAAGCTTCTTTAGTCATGAAAAAGACATTTATTTTTACAATTAACACTTGAAATGATGAAGGCACTGAATGACAAGGTAGTACAAAATATAAACCATACTTTGGTGTTTAGTCTCATGATGCATTGATAAAGCCTGACAATGCGTCAAAGTCAAATGTGTGTCTTGTCCGTGTAAGTATGTATATAATATTTATGTGTTTATTTCTACGTGCGGTGCAGATGACGTGTCCATGTCGGGCTTCAAGGATGCCGTCAGCGAACAGAGTGCTACCGAGAGCGCCACCGAGGCTGTGATTGGCCAGGAGCAGGAGGGAGGCGTGTCCCCCGACACCGTCAGCGCTACCTCCCAGAGCATCGACGATCCCACCAAAGACATAGTAAGAGACCAAAACACCTGGAAAATATATTCATAACTCGATATTGATGTTGTGGATCCATATCTCATCTCATATAATGTTCTGCTTCTCACTGTGAGGATTAATAACTACTGTAACTATGGGTTCATAATCTAAACAATACGTCTGGTGTAAAAGTATTCTATGTACAATACTAGAGTCAGAAATTCACATACAGTAAATGTGAAAGTATAGTAAAGAATCCCAGTTTGCGCTCACAGAATATGGCGGCGCTGATTGTTCTTCTTCTTCGTTCCCCTCCCCCAGGTGTCGGTGCTGGTGTTGAAGGTGCAGTCGGTGTGTGTGGCCATGGAGGCGTTTGGCGAGAGCACGGCCGTGGCTCTGGAGGTGGGCCGGGTCACACCCAGCCAGCTGGGCAACGTCAGCCTGAGACAGTACCTCAGCAACCGCAGCCTGGGTAAGAAGAAGTCCGTGATACACTGACTCACGTGTGGCCGTATCATGAACACCGCGGCACACATCTGTCCAAAAGTCTGTCTACGTTCTCAACCCAAACAACGGCAGTCTCAGAAAAAGTCAAGTAGTAACACTATCTCTGTGATGGGGGTGACACATCTTGTAGATTTGACTGTAGTGGTGTCTGAACATGCTACACAGCACTTTTATAAATTTGATAACATCCCCAGTTACACCAAACTGCCATGTGAATATTATCAAAGTTATGAAATCCTCAAGTGTCAAAATACTGTAGTAAGAACAAGCTGCCTCTTGTTTTATCATTGTGAGCTGCTGATTACATAAAACAAGTCCGCTAAAATAGATTCAGCAGAAGTAGGCTGCAGCCTATTTCTTTGGTCCAAACTAAAGCGGAAGATGAAAGTCGAGGGACGTTTGTCGAGATTCAAGCCCACAAGTGGGGCAGCTACCAAACAAGAAAGAGCAGTGTGTGTGGATTTAGACTAAAGCCGGTCACATAAACAACATTTAGTTCTTTTGTAGATTCTTTTTCGATGATCTTTTTCTGGTATTTTTTCTTATTTATAAGAGTGAGAGGATGAACAAGGACTTTATGAGGATGTGATGTGATGAAGGTCCTGGAGCAGACTGTAAGCTGTTCTGTTGGGTTTAAACCACCAGGACGCTCCACAACTGACCCCAGCCCTGTTTTCTGCGTGTTCATACTGTAACACAAGACAGACAGACGGGGAGACCAGTAGCAACATTAACTTGCTCCTGCTTCACCCTCAAATATTTTGACAATCGATTGATTTCAGTCCGTTTTCATGCTGAAAATGAAAAGCACTCGATGGTGCCAAAATCTCAAATGTGAGAATGAATAGCTGTGCTTGGTCTTACATTATAGTAAATTTAATATTTTTGACATATTTCACTGTTTTTTCGATGTTTATCGGATTAATTGAGGAAATAATCATCTGATTAATCTAAAATGAAAATAATCACTCTAGTCTGAATCCCTTAATGTGTTAACCATTATGTCAAGTGCACACACACACACAGGCACCCCCTCCTTTTATTTACCTTGCCATAACTCCCCACAGGTATGGTGTGTTC